CTATGTTAATATACCAGAGAAAAATATGGTATATTACTTTGACTAGTCGGACATCATATTGTAAATATTGAGTAAATGTCGTAAATGTAGATGAAATTTAGCATGGTGTAATATTCCCTATGATTCACTTCAATAAGAGGTAACATACATATATATATATATATAAGACGTACTATATCATAAATCTAAACAAGGATATGTTTTGAACAATATGATTCAGTATGATTTCAAGATATTATGATATTAAATATATTTCATGTTCACAAATATTCAAGGGTAATATTATAATGTAACATAATGTATTACATATATACAGAAACACTATAAAGTTTACTTTGATCTGACACATATGGGCAAAAACAGTCCCATATACCATCTGGTTATGACTAACATAGCCATGGAAAGATCCACCATTTTTAAGAACGGTAAACCCAGGTAAACCATCTATTTCTATGGGCCATCTATTCCATGGCTATGTGCAATAACCAGAGGGCATATATTAACCCATATATTAAGCATATATTAACCATATATAAAAAAAACAGTCCCACTTATTAACCCAGTCCCACTTAAACAGTCCCACTTATTAACTTAAGCATATATTAACCATATATTAACCCACTTATAGATCAAAAATGATAAATGATAAACTGCCCATTTACCATAGATAGATCGTTCCTCCAACAAAACCACCGCCACCAAAAAGTTCGGCAGGTGGTACCTGGGCCGCGGGCGCTTTCTCCGCGGGAGAATTCTCCGGTCTTCGGAGGTGGAGGTCACGGTGGTGTTGGGGTTTTCTATAGTGATTCACTGGGATATCAATGGGAAGTGGTGGGGTACATGGGGTTTCTATAGTGATTTACTGGGATATTGGAAGTTTCTTGGTTTTAGTAGAATATTAAAGGTTGAATTTCTCCGGTAATCAGACATAGCAATGGAAAAAACCCGCACTAAGTGGAAGTTTTAGTGGGAAAATCATCTTCAAATATGGGATTCGAAATTGCTGTTTTGATTGCCGGAGTGTGTGGTCCCTATACAGGTTGGTTTTATCAGGAACTCATCATCAACTAAGCGGTGTTTTGAACACTTCTTAATCATTTAATAGGGATTTAAAACCAACAATTGTATACAATTGTGGGGATATAATGTAAAATGAAGGGAACGTGTTTTTTGATGTTCAAACATTTTTCACAAAAATGGAGGGAATCCTAGGGGATTAACCATCAAAATTGAGTTTCCAATTTTTTTGAAGGGAAAATGATGATTAATCAGTGCATTTAAGGGGTTTACTAAGCCCATCACTTACAATCTTACAATTGTTTTTTTTACCCGCTTACAGGGCTGGACAATGGGACAAAATGGGGGGAAGAATCCAAAGACATCCCTCCATTTCAGTTGGTTGAATACACCCATTTACAGCCATTTGAATCATCCGATTCTTATCCCCATTTTATCTCATAACATCGATTACTGTAACATCCATCAACATCAAGGTTCGTGATATCCCAATTTCTCCCATTGTAATCATAGCCGAGTACCCTCTGGTAATTTGTTACAGTTTGCGACATAGAAGCCATGGCCCAGTCGAAAGTTCGTGGATTTACCCATTAATAGCATGGCGGATCTTTCCAGTTCGTTTTTTGTGAACGTTTACCAGGCCGGGTATGTTTCGTGGATCGTTCTTCCTGATTGTTGATATCCCCAATTCTTGGTCATCGTTGGTTACATCCACCAACAAAGGGCGTGAAAGTCGGACGTTACTTTACCAGGCCGGGTTTTCCAGAAAAATGTCCACTTGAATCCCCATGAAAAATTCCCCATCATATCCGAAGAAACTCTGTGCCAATGGAAAATCCCACTGTAGCCCTTGGGAAAATCCTGGCGAAATCACTATTTTCTGGGTTGGTGCTTTGGAACCATGGAATTTGATGACTTTCCATATATTGGGAATGTGATCATCCGAACTGTTACTCACTCCATCATTTTTCAGAGGGGTAGGTCAACCACCAAGCAGTAAACTGGTTGGTTAAAAGAACAAATCTACTCTAAATTCCCATTCAATCCCATTGGTTGATGGTTTAAGCCATGAATTCAATCCCATTTGGGAACGGTGCTGACTGGAACATTGGTTTAGTATGGGGTAATGATGGTTAATAATGGTTAATAATGGTTAATAATCTCTGGTTGGTGCTTTGGAACCATGGAATTTTATGACTTTCCATTCAGTTGGGAATGTCATGATCCCAACTGACGATTCGTCCATCATTTTTCAGAGGGGTAGGTATACCACCAACCAGTTAACTATTATGAATCACTATTCACTATCAACGATGGTAAATCTAGTGGTAATGGTTTATTGGCCATGATCAACCATGATCATTCACTATTAACCATCATTAGCCATGAAACAAACCAGCATTAACCACCATTAACAGATCATCATCATCATCATCATCATCATCATCATCATCATCATCATGACGATTTTTTCATTACTATCATAATACACAATGACAATTACTATGATTATTGTTGTGGTTATGAAAATTAACCATCATTAGCCAGGAATTATCCCATGGAATATATATATATATATTCCAATGGCTTGCTCGGTGAATCCCATGGACTCCCCATGATATCACCATGAAAAAGAGACGTCCAAACGGGCTGACCGGGCTGCCCGGGCTGCCGGGAGGAGTCGGGAGATGCGCTGATCCCGCCCATGCACCTGGGTGGTGTTTTTCAGAGCCGGTTGCTGTTTGGTGATGAAGTGGAAATAACTAGGGTTTATTAGGGGATATACCTATAGTTAATGGTTTTTATAATGGGAATATTGAATTTATATCTGGCTGATTTTTTTTTTTTGGGAATGTTAAAAAGAATTGGAGGACCGTCCCACACATCGTAATATTTCACCATATTTTAAAAAAACACATATTTTTCATACCGTATTGAAGTGGTAAATAACATTTGATATTATATGATCATATATATGATGATATATGGTTCATATTAACAAAAACAGTCCCATATACCATCTGGTTATTTAACATAGCCATGGAAAATCACCATTTTTAATAGGTAAACCCAGGTAAACCATCTATAAATGGGCCATTTTCCATGGCTATGTGCAATAACCAGAGGGCATATATTAACCCATATATTAAGCATATGTTAACCATATATTTAAAAGACCAGTCCCACTTATTAACCCAGTTGTGTCTGGGACGACAGCGAAAATCTCGGGGTTTTTCATTCACCACAACGGTCTGGGTTTCATGGGATGAATCGGCGACCCAAAGAGGGCGACCCGTTTTCGTTTGTGAAACCTGGGAGAAGTTGTAACCACCGGGAAATACTTGGCATATATCATACCCTCTGGTAATTTAACATAACTATGGAAAAATTCACCATTTTTAATGGGAAAATCCACTATAAATAAATGGTCATTTTCAATAGCTATGTGTTAAATTACCAGAGGCTATTTTTCACAGAAAACACCCATCGCGGCTAAGCCTTGCTTGGTGAATCTTTCTGGCTACTAAGTTACTAGCAATGACAATAAAACATGACTTTTGTATGTCATGACATCTACCCTCTGGTAAACTAACATAGCTATTGAAAATGGCCCATTTATAGTTGATTTACCTATTATAACTGGTGATTTTCAATAGCTATGTTAAATTACCAGAGGGTATGAGATTATGAGCATCTCTCCCAACATCCCGTTGCGTTCGTTGCGGAGCCGAGGCCCATTGGAAGGCTGGTGAGCAAAGGCAGCATGACCAGCCTTGAGCCGTTCGACAAAAAATATGTGGTGATTCTTACAGAAACCATGGTGGACAGATATGGTTGTTTGGATGTATTTTTAATGGAAACATCCACCATTTTTCATGGGTAAATCCACTATTTCTATGGTCATTTTCAATAGCAAACTGTTAGTTTACCAGAGGGTAGTAGTTGATGATGATGGACCTAGGAGTTTTTTCGGAGTTTAGGAGGTTGATGGTCGTGACAAATGATCGATTCCATAATGCATAGATTATGAGATATTATGGGTCAATAACGTGGGGGAATTGGATGTAGCAGGTAATTTAATCTATGTTGGTATACCCAACAATAACCCAACAACTGGAGGATGGAAACTAAGGCACTGGCTTTGCCACACAAACTGGTAAATCATTTGATTGTGGAGTGTACCGTAGTTGGATCTTAGTGGTTAATTGATTTTCAGGGCTCACCCGCTGGTAATTTAACATAGCTATTGAAAATGGCCCAGTCGAAATAGTGAGTTTTCCCATTAAAATTGGTGGATCTTTCCATAGTTATGTGAACGTTTACCAGGCCGGGTAACCCCAGTTCGTTGCCATGTTTGGTAAACCATGCGAACGATGGTACCAACCCGGCCGCGCAACAGTCGCAACGTTCCGAAAACCACATTCTTGCGACCAGTGGAGACTCACCTTGCCCCCGCAATCAATCAATCACTGGCACTTTCGACGTAAGGCATGGGTCATTGAATGTCCCCATTGAACATCACCCAACCATTAGGTATATGGTCTATAATAACTACTATAAGGTGATGTCCAATCTTCCCAAAATGGGACATTTACCAACCCCTGTAAGGTGACCATTTGGTGACCATGGGACACATTTTGTGACCTGAATGTCAGGGGATACAACATGTCAATGAAATCACGTGTTTCTTTTGGCAAAAAATAGTTTTTGGCGACCTCAAGCCACAAATTCACAATTTGTAAAGGCAAAAACATATTGGTTGAACCTTCAATTTCACTGGCTGAAAATGTCATTAGAATTCAATTTTGGGACTTGTACCCTCTGGTAAACTAACATAGCTATGGAACATCACCATTGTTAATGGGTAAATCCACTATTTCTATGGCCATTTTCAATAGCAAACTGTTAAATTACCAGAGGGTAAAATAACTCATCATGCTGCGTGGGACTTTCATCGAGGTATGATCCCTTCGATGCTCCAGAGTTCATTCAAGATGAGATGGGTGGAGGTGTCAGTGAGTCGTCCTTCGGTCCTTCCTTTTTTTTTTCCCTGGTTGTGGTGATGATTTGACTTATGGAAATCCGTTTGGGGAAATCCACTAGAAAATCGGGGAATCTATGGATGGATTGACAAAAACATTGACTTATGGAAATCTAATGGGAAATTGACGAATCTATAGGGGAATCTAAAGGGAAGATTTAATGTTATTTACTGATTGATTGATCAATAGATTTACCGCCTGTTCAGGTATGTCTGATTGGCAAATGATACAGCAGTCAGGTGCCCTAAAATATGTTATTGACTGCTGGATATCATCACTATAATTTGTTATCCTTTTTTGTAGTATCATTGCTCTTCGTTTCATTATCATTATCATAATATTTATTAGTTAGTTATCATTATCATAATATATATATAACTAATGATGTCATAATATTTTTTGTAGTTTTCTTTTAATTAGTTACTCTCCCGTAAACTAACATGTCGATGTGGAGTTTACCCACCCTGTGTGGTGGACATGGTGAATCATTTTCCTGGGAAAATGGCCCAGTCGAAATGTCGTGAGTTTCCCCATGAAAAACATGGTGATTTTAACCAGTTCGTTTTTTGAAAAAACCTTTAGCAGGCCGGGTATATTTTAATGTTACCCGGCCTGGTAAACGTGAACATAAAAAACGAAGTGGAAAGATCCACCATGCTATTAATGGGTAAATTCACTGTTTCTATTGTCATTTTCCATAGTTATGTTAAATTACCGGTATCTAAAAAAAACCAAGATGGAGCATGTTCAGGACCATTTTTTGGTAGCTGGTTATACGACTCACGGACCATTTTCACCGTGCTTTTTGTTGGTTGCCCTCCTTTTGGAGCCTTCCTGGAAAGGCAGATGCCAAACATGGCTGGTCCTACTTGGGGGATCATAACAGGTACCCTCTGGTAGACTAACATAGCTATGGAACATCACCATTTTTAATGGGTAAATCCACTATAAATGGCAAATTTCAATAGCTATGTTAGTGTACCAGAGGGTACCAAGTGGTGTAAAACCCTGGTGATGATATGTGCCTAGAGTTAATGGCCACAAAGCCATGTGCGGGAAGCAGAACAACCCGCATTACATTCGCATTACATCGCCATGATATTCGAACTATCTCCCCATCATATGCGAATTTTATCACATTATATCCCAATGATTTTTGCTTATAACCTCGTCCCAAATCAGTCATATGGTAAACCCAATGTCATAAACCATCCCCAAGTCACTAGATATTTTTTGTGGTGTACAATTCATCATCCCGAAATGGTAGTTGTTTATGACAGCCAGGGTTTCTCACATTCGCCATGCTAGGGCAGTGCCCTCCGGAGGCATCTTCAGTTGGATGCCGGTGACGGCCGAGGGCAGCTTGCTGCCGGACAACGAGAGCTACGCGGAACAGGCCTTTGAGGTCGCACCGTAGGGGAAGTGTCGGGGACGGGGGCGGTTGTCTCTTGGGAATTGCCCAGGGTCGTTCCAAACAGGTTTAAACATTACCCTCTGGTAAACTAACATAGCTATTGAAAATCACCATTTATAGTGGATTTTCCCATTAAAAATGGTGATTTTCAATAGTTATGTTAGTTTACCAGAGGGTAAACCATTTAAACATTTATACAGGATTCAGGACATGGCAGCGCTGATATTGGAGGGGTTGGATCTTGCGGTCTTGTGACGTTTAAACATGTTTAAACATATTTCCACATTTGAAGTTGGCCGCTGGGCTTGTGGCACAAGACTCAAATTCAAATGCCTCAGCCCAGGGCCAGGGCGAGGAAGTTGTAGCCGCTCGCAGAGGCCTCAAGAGGGCCCGCGGTTCTCCGTGGCCGCGGAGGCTGTGCAAGAGCCATGGAGTGAGGATGTGGCTCATGTGGAGCCGATCGATCGCAACAATTGCTGCAGTGGCAAGAAAGGCAGCAGTGGCAAGATTACCTTGAAGAACGCAGCTCTCAACCCGTTGGAAAGGCACTTGTTTAGAAAGCACACCGTGAGTCATGGTGTCAATGACATGTGTTGACTTCATGTAGTCTGTTGATGTTCTGGTTTGGTGTTTTGTTTACTGGTTCCCCACAACAAAGGAGAAGATATGAAAAGAGCTGTAAACTTACTCACGAGGGAACTGCTTTTTCTTTTTTTATTGAACATCACTATACCATTAATGCGGTACATCCCAAAAAAGAAACTTTACCTGATTGGGTGATTGGGTTTACCATATTTTTTCGGGATCCATTATATTTCCATATTGTTGGAAGGTCAATTCATCACCTCGATCGATGGTTAGTGGTTGATTCCTATGGATGACGCGGGATGGAACATATGTCAATGGGAATTTCAGGGAATATCCCCCCAAAAAAACATGGCCCAACATATGGTACCCTCTGGTTATTTAACGTAGCCATGGAAAATGGCCCATTTATAGATGGTTTACCTAGCTATAAAATGGTGGATCTTTCCATGGCTATGTTAAATAACCAGATGGTACAGTAATGTACAGTATCTCTATTGAAATGGATCCTGAAATTCCCATTGACGGAACCAATAGACATGATGAGGCCGACCCGGGCGACCCGGAAATGGTGCGTGGAATTCATGTTGGGGTCAGACCTCCAGTGGTCCAGGTCTGCAGGTTTCCTACGTCATTTCTTCACGAACCATGCGGGTAAGGTATTAAATAGACTCTATGCAGATATGAGAAGTCATTCATTTACGCTATGAGTTCAAATGCTGGTTGGTGGTTTGGAACATGAATTTTATTTTTCCATATATATATATAATTATACATATATATATATGGGATAATCCTTCCCATTGACTTTTCTATTTTTCAAGATGGTTAAAACCACCAGCCAGAATGTTTTCTATTAAACCCAGGTCCTGGAATGTACTGGATCTATATCTTTGGGGGGGTTACAGTAGCACCCCTTTCTTTCGCTGCACAAGACCACATCAACCCGACATCAAGTATGGACCGTTCATCTCCAAAGTCACGTCAAAGTCATTTACAAAAAGTATCGCAGTCTCTGAGTCGCCAAGAATTATTTTTCATAGAGCTGCGGGGTTGCCACAACTGTTATAATCTGCTTGGTGGTTTGGAACATTTTTTTTAAATTTGTTTCCATTCAGTTGGGAATGGAAAAATCATCCCAACTAACGATTCGTCCATCATTTTTCAGAGGGGTTGATGGTCAACCACCAACCAATTCGTGGGACCCACTGGATGGATTTTGCATCCCGGGTTACCCGGCCTGGTAAACGTGAACATAAAAAACGAACTGGAAAGATCCACCATGCTATTTTCATGGGTCAATCCAGTATTTCGACTGGGCCATTTTCTATGTCGCAAGTTGGTTTTGACTCCCCGTTGACTTCGATATGACACCCAAACTTGGCGAACAAACTGAGGCACCACCTTGTGAATCAAGTGATCTATTTAACTATTAACTACTGGGATATTGCCATGATGGGAGATGTAACTATTAACAATAACTACTGATGATGATGATGATGACATGGTATACTGTATGATCAAGGTAATAAAAACTAGTTCATATCATTAACTACTGTAATACTGCTATTCATGAGGAGATACATAAGTGTAACTATGAACAATAACTGATGATGACGATGACGATGACGATGATGACGATGACGATGACGATGATGACGATGACGATGACGATGACGATGACGATGATGATGATGATGATGATGATGGATGATGATCAATTTATTTTCTACACAAAGGATAGTCTGAATTTATCTATAGAGCAACGGCAACTATGAAACATAACTATGGTATCTTGAATTGTGGTAACTATTGGTAACTATAAATAGTAAAACTAATGGTAACAATATACTAATACTATGGTATTAAAACTAACGGTAACTATGTGAATTCATATACCATTAGTTATTGTTCATAGTTAACATATTGTGAATGCTTCCACAATGGTAATTAACTAATGGTAACACTATATTAGTTAACTATTAACAACAACTATTATGAATTAGTAACTGTGCCATTTAACTGGCAATGAAAAAAAATCCATGTTAACAATGGCACATGATCATTTTTCATTATGAATTAGTAACTTAGTGCCAGTTAATTGATTCCCATTTTTCACAAATTCCCATGGTGAAATTCACCTCCCATTTTTATCAAATCTCCCATGTTGCCATCGTTTTTTAACCGAAACCCCCAGGTGCCAGTGGATCGCTTGGAATACCTCCAAGGCTCAGGCTTTCTGGAGGCCAAAGCCAGCGAGGACTGATGGAGTTTGTGACTGGAACTGATGGAAGAAATATGTGATTTTTAACGGTGATTTTATGATTTAATGATTTTAATAGGGATTTTAGAGGGATTCAAATTTGACTTTGGGATGTTAAAGGGATTTAATGGGTGTTTTTCAAGGATTTTAAGGACATTAATAGGATTTTCTAAGGATTTAAAGTAGACACGTGGCCTGTAGGGTGACAAAACATTTGGATCACCTCGTGGCCATGGTTGGCTGCCAGGTCGTGTGTCGAATGTCTTCAGAAACGGGATGTTCTTCATCTGGTATACCCTCTGGTAATTTAACATAGCTATTGAAAATGGCCATTTATAGTGGATTTTCCCATTAAAAATGGTGATTTTCCATAGTTACGTTAGTTTGCCAGAGGGTATATCTACCAATCTGGTATATCTATCTGGGTAAATTTCATCACGACCTCACTGCCACGACCTCACTGCGACCGAAACCTGGATTAAAGGTTAGTAAGGGGAATCATCCCCAAATAGCCTTATTTCAGATTAGTGATTTATTGTAATTTACCCAGATCTATAGTTGGAGATATGTGAACTATTTATAGACATATAAATCATTATACTCATGTTTTTCAGAGGGATTGAAACCACCAACCAGTCATGCTTTGCCCATCTAACCATGAAAAAACCATTACTATTGTTGTTAATGAGACAATAACCAGCACTATTGGTTATGATGATATTGTATAGTAACAATAATAATCTGGTTGGTGGTTTGGAAACATGGAATTTTATGACTTTCCATTCAGTTGGGAATGTCATCATCCCAACTGACGAACTCATATTTTTCAGAGGGGTAGGTAAACCACCAACCAGTCATGCCTTGCCCATCTAGCGGCACTTCAAACCAGTCTCACATCGCAAAGCCGGGCACCATTTAGGGAAAAACAGCGTCGCGCGTTCATCATTACTGCTGAGTTACTGCTGCATTGATGTCTCATGATGTCTCCATGTCATGTGGCACAGAACCAGCAATTGGCGAAGACACCTGCTCCCGCAGCTCAGCAGGTGAGAGTGGGAAGTTTGCCATGGCTTCGCCCCCTATCCAAGTGTTTCAAGGTGACCTTGCTATCAAAATCCAAAGTCCTGCGCAGAAGTATCATAAGCAAATCACTCATAGATGTCCCAAATTCCCATTGGTTGGTTGAATAGAGGGGCTTGAAGCTTTACCCCTTTAACAACAGGTTTCTATGATGATAGACGGTATACCAGCTCCCGGCCCATACCAGGATTTCCGTGCCTACTTCGTGGGAGAGGTGAGCAGCCGAAGGGGTGAGAAATTGAAGTTTTTCGATGTTTTTGGGGATCGGGATTACTATATAATATATAGCCTATAATTATAGCAACTCAAGATTTAAATCCTAAGTTTGGGGTTGAACATCAAAATGATGTCCTCTCTGGAGGTTCAATAGATATAATACCTGATAGCCACATTGCTGGGGATGTATTGATGAACAGGCGATACCACCACTTTGACAACGGGGCTTTGTGATGTGTGGATATCCAACAACACTCAGATTTCTGGGTTTAGGGTTTTCCGTATGTTATATTATGTTATGTAGGAGATCTTCATGACCAGCATGAACGATTACCCTCTGGTAAACTAACATAACTATGGAACATCACCATTTTCAATGGGTAAATCAACCTATTTTTATGGCCATTTTCAATAGCAAACTGTTAAATTACTAGAGGGTACTTTCAGGCGGTGGCCTCAGTTCAGGATCCATAAGCCAGCACAGCGCAAAGTGTTTTGAGATTTTAGGAGGGGAAACACCAACCACGAAAAATGGGGGATATTTGGGGGATATTTCACCATGAAACATGCGAATTTTGAAGCATTGGATCTGAATTTTGAGAAGTGGGAAGTGGGAGATCATTGGATATATAGCCAGAAAATATAATTTTTTCCGAAATAGAGGATGGCTCCCTATTCTATTGCAATTGGATAAGGTTGACCATGATTGTTTTTCTGGCTATAACAATTTCAGACAAACCAGACAACATTCCCTAAATTTTGTATTTAGATGATCATTGTCTTGACGAAGGTCGAAGCTGTTTTTTTTTCTCTCCTCGACTCTAGGATGTTTTTTTCAAACAATTTAAGAAGAATTTTAGATCCATGGCTTCCCCCACCAATCATCTATAAATGGTGGAGATAAACCATGTCTATGTACAAAAAGCTGCACGGTACGGTCATTTTGTTAGACCATTACCGGATTTACTGGGTCATACATTCCCATACATTCCCGACATGCGGAAGCCATTTGGAATATGGTATACCCTCTGGTAAACTAACATAGCTATTGAAAGTCACCATTTTTAATGGGAAAACTCACTATAAATGGCCATTTTGAATAGCAATTTCAAATTACCAGAGGGTACACAGAAATTGAGCAAACTTGCTGGCGTTGAAGCTGTTTCAATCCTTCGCAAAGTCCTTAAGCGTGCCATATGCCAACCGTAGCTGCTAACCAAATCAAGCTTCTTTCAATGTATCCCAGGGCGGGGGGTGATCCTCTGTGCCACACATCGTGATGCAAAATCCTTTGAGATCATCAGGCACTCTGTGGAATCGATGCGAACGGCCATTGCAAAGTCGGGGTCTGGAAGTGACCTTTTCCCATCTTCCAAAGCCGTGGCCAGCGATTTGTTGGGAGGTTACTTGTTGGTGGTTTGATGTTCAACAAATCTTCTGCTGACTTCATGTTAAGAGAACGATCCAAAACGACTCAGTAATGTGGTGTGTTGCCAAATTTGAGCTCTCCAATCCATGCCACAAATGTATACAAATGTGAATCAAATCCCTAGAGTCCTAGAGTTCCTAGAAGAAGAGACCTGATTTGACTTAGTTTTTTTTTTCTCATTTTTGTTTCGACATCTCCCATGTTTTAAGCCCCAACTCCATGTCCCGCCTGCCATGCTCTGTGCCTCGGCCATCACCGGCGTTTCCGCAAGCGCCGTGCCGCCGGTGCGTCCTGCGGTGCGAAGGGTTGGTAGCGCCGTGTCGCCGCGGCTGGGAGGGGCGCTGGGAGTTACCTCGCTCCTGGTGTGGCGAGGTGGGGATGGGGGGTAGGTTGCAGTTGCGCCAGACATTTCTGGCACTTTTTGGTGCTTTTGTTGATGGTTTCTGGCACTTTTTTGTGGATTTTTAGTAGATTATAGGTTCTGAATGGATTTGTTCGTGGATTTTGAATGGATGTTTAATGGATTCTTGATGGCTTTTTGATGAATGTTAATGGCTCGGAGCTACAGATGCCAATAGCTATGGGGAGAAGTAGTTATGAACAACATCGGATGGTTTGTTAATCCACTTGTGGCTGGGATCGCAAGTGACAGCCTTGGGTGTTTCTGCTGAAAAATGTCGCCCTGCCATCTGGTTGGTGGGTCAAAACCCTGTACCCCCAGTGAACCTCAAGGTTGATGGTCATCCCTGAAAAACCACATGATTAGTAGGTTTTGACCCATACCAATATTGGGAATTTCATAATCCCAACTGACTGATATTTTTCAGAGGGGTTGAAACCACCAACCTGCCATCATTGGATGTTGAAAAACCCAGGAGCCTTGTTTCTGGTGTTTTGCCAATTCCTCAGCCCAGCGAAGATTTGGAGAGCCAGGACGCCTGGCCAAAAGAGCACCAGAAGTCTCCATGGTTCTCACACGTTTTCATGATGGGCGACGGCATCTATACCCCATGAAATACCATGAAATACCATGAAATACCATGAAATACCATGAAATACCACATTTTGGGGGCGATTCACATCATCTATATATGGCCATACATATTATATATATATATTATATTATATATAGTAATACATATATCTATATATATATGGCCATACATATATATTTATATATATACATATATATATATATAGTAATACCTATATATATATAATAATATATATAGTGTATATATCCAGCGATTTTTTGGGCTGAACAGCAGGGTACCAAGCTCTTGCCCTGCCAGGTCGAAGCGTCTTCCGCAGGGCCGTGGCACAGCGAAGTTTGAGCGAGGTGACTTGGGAGGAGTTGAGCGACTTGGCACAAGGCGTCATGGATCCAATATATGGGGGGTGTTTTTTTTCTCATGGAAATCCCAAAGAAAAATGCATGATTTGGGGGTAGCTCCAATGACTTCGGAAACCTGCAATATATGATGGATGGCAATGTATATATAAATATATAATATAATATAATATAACATATAACATATAAAATATAATATATAATATAATATAATATAATATAATATAACATAATATAATATAATATATAAAATATAATATATAGTATAATATAATATATAACATATAATATATAAAATATAATATATAGTATAATATAATATAATATAATATAAATATAATATGCTATAATATAATATAATATAATTTAATATATACAATATAATAAATAGTATAATATAATATCTAAAATATAATATATAGTATAATATAATATGATATATTATCATATAATATAAAATGATATAATATAATATATAATATATAATATATAATATATAATATATAATATATAATATAATATATAATATATAATATATAATATAATATATATAGTATATAATATATGATATATACAATATGATATGTAATATATAATATATATAATATATATAATATATAATATATATAATATATATAATATATATAATATATATAATATATATAATATATATAATATATATTATATATATAATATATATAATATATATAATATATAATATATATAATATATAATATAATATTTAAATGCCAACTTCATTTATGTTGATGAAGTCCCTACATCGTTTCCACGTTAACCCAGGCCTCGTGGCCTCGAAGTCCTCGCGTTCTCCGCGGCTTTTCGAGTCGCGCCAGCGGCTGCACGGCGCCGAGAGACCGGAGCTGAAGTTCTGGCACGACGCGGCGGGGTGGTGCCCGCATTGCATGGCGCCTTGGTCATTTTGGTAATGTCAACCCTGGATTTTCCTAAACCCCAAACGGTTGTTTAATTGGGGGGATACCATTTAAGTATATTTAAGTATCAGATTATTACTATTTGGGCAGTACCCCCCTAATTAATAAACCATGGTTTATTAATCCGGGGTTGACATTACAGAACTAATGTCATATAAAATGGGATATCCCCAAGTCACCATAGGTTTCAGTACTAATGTTGTTTAATGAACTGGATGATTTGGGGGTAGCCCCATGACAAAACGAAAACCTCCAGAATGTCAACCCCGGATTAATAAACCATGGTTTATTAATCAGGGGGATATTCCCCCAATAGTCATGATTTCATACTTTTTTTTATGGTACCTTCCCAATTCAACAGCCGTTTGGGGTTTATTAATGCAGGGTTGACATTAACTAAGCCATGGAAATCATAATTTTCTATGGGTATAGAACTATAGTAAACAACTATAGATAACTAATAAATTCAATAAACCATAGAAGTATAGAACTGTTTGTTTCCATCGGCAGTCACCAACGACGCCGCTTGCAACATGGGGATTGTTCTTTTAATTACGTGTGTTATAGAACTATGGTAAAGAAAACTAAGCCATAGAGGTATGAGTAGAATTGTAAACTATGGGTAAACTATGGGAATAACCTTTAATTTGATGGTGAAACATTGTGAACCACAGCTATTATATTGATATACAGCTTCACCCGTATTAACTATGTAATGTAATATCTATGGTTATATAGCTAATACAGCCTATAAAAGTTGGTGATTATCATGGTTAGTTAATGGTTCATAATGGCTAGTAGTAGTTATGAACGGGTATATAAGCATGGAATTATAGCCCCTTTTTTCAGTTGGGATATGGCCCACCCGTTTTTTTCTTTTCTGGTGAAATCGATCCATTTTTTTGATGTAAGTGAACTCGTATGGAGGATATAACTTCACTATACTTTTCATGGGCTTTAGAGATTTACAAACATCAACAATGTTAACATTCGCCAGACTGAACATGTTTGTTTGTTAACATTGTTGGTTTTCACATAAACAAACAATGTTGGTCATCACTTTTTCGGCACAACTTGTTCGGCGCCTGGCCACCGAGTTGTGTTCACCTCGAAGGACCCAATCGGGATTTTACATGGTTTTTACCCTCTGCTAATTTGTTACAGTTTGCGACATAGAAGCCATGGCCCAGTCCACATATATCGTTGATTTAGCCATGAAAATAGCATGGTGATAATTTTCCAGTTCGTTTTTTTGTAAACGTTTACCAGGCCGGGGAACATAGACCATGAGTTCCATCTACAGATCGCCATCCATGGCCTCAACACACTGCGCAGCTCAGGTATCTTGGGTTGTCTTGGAAGAGATGCGCATTCCCTATGTCATGGATGCTCGTCAAGGGATGATCAGGGGAAGTTGGTTTTGTAGCCCCTAAAACTATGGTTAATGTTGATTGATTATGGATATAACACATCCATACATATATATATATACACATGTGTACACACATGTTTACGCAGTCCCAAGTATTTGTATCTGGAATCAATATATATATATATAACGTGTAAAAATCACACCAGTCGTTCTCTTCTCTTCTCCTTCACTTCCTCCTCTGGTGATTCTGGAGGCAATGCACATTCCCAGACTCGCTTGAAGTTGAAGGGAAGAATTTCGAAGGAACCCCCAAGAAATTTGGGGATTAAAAACAATCATGTTCATAAAAGCAATAGTAAACCATCCCCAATTTTACCATAGGTATAGGTATAGGTGGTATAAACAAAAATCCATATTTAAGTGGTTTATGACATTGTTTTACTAACATCATGGTTTGATTCGTTTCTATTTTCCCCTTTAGCCATTGATCACTGGCTAGTGTCAAAGCCAGTTGCCTCGAGCTTCACGGACACCTTAACTGATTCCTGAGCCGAAACCTATCCCTGTTTCATCATGACCATTGGGCAAATTATGGTGAACTCACAAAGGCTTTGTTATATCTATATATACTGCTTGGTGGTTTGGAACATTTGGATTAGTTTTCCATATATTGGGAATGTCATCATCCCAACGGTCAACCACCAGCCAGTATCTATCTTTGTAGATTGTGAACAATGGAAATTACGGAGGCCAAGCATTTACCTAGATTTGGGAATCATTGCTTGCGCAAATGATATTGTCCATCAGTTTTCAACTCAATAGTGAAGTATCCCATCATCCCATTCTTATCCCATGTTTATTCCATAATTTTTTGGTTCTTGCATCCATTTTTTTCTTGTTGAAGTCGGTTCAATCTCAATTCCTGTTGGTTAAATCCGTTGTTTGTCCTGGTTGGATCTCAGTTTTTCATATTTTATCCAGGTAGCCCATTCGTTCCTGAGGTGAAATCCAAACAAAAACATCAATTAATTCATGCTGAATAACACCTTTCCAAAAAAGCATCGTTGAAACAACAAAATAGTGTTTTGGTTGCCATTTGGTTTTTTGACATAGCGATGGTATAAATGGCCCATTTTAAAGATGATAAATATGATCACTTCCCTAGCTGTAAAATGGTTGTTTTCCACTTTGCAAAGCGTATTTTTTACCAGAGGGTATCGCAATTGAATCCCCATTTCAAGTCACTATGAAGTCACCATGAATTTGCTGTTCACTACTGGTTTTCATCTCATTCAATTACTGGTTGGTGGTTTGGAACATTTTTTTTTTTTAATGACTTTCCATATATTGGGAATAATAAGCCCATTTGACGAACTCATATTTTTCAGAGGCGTGGCGAAAAACCACCAACCAGATTAAATATATTAAATCATCATCATCATCATCATCATCACCATCATAATATATATATATATATGTATATGTATATATCCTGCTAGAAAATCCCATTTCAAGTCAGCATTTTTCACATTTTACATCCCAGGACACCACTTCACTGCGTGCCTACCTAAAGCCTGGAGAGAAAAAACGGCAGCGCATGGTACCTGTGATCCAACTCATTGATCCTCAGGTGCCACGGCTGTGCTGGAAGTAGCTCGAAATATCCATGGGATGTAACGATTTAATCGGCCCAAAAAAATGGTGATTTAAACATCATAGATATCACTGGATTGGTTTAAGGGAAAATTTACAAGAAACCATGGTTTTTACCATTAAATATAGAGGTTTCCTGCAAATTTTCCCTTAAACCAATCCAATGAAGATAGAGAACTGTTTGCCACTGAAGTATCAACAAACTTTTACGAATTATGGGATGCAATAAGTATGATTTAATCATATTTAATCAACAAAAATGGGGATTTAACATGATTAAACCGTGTTAAACCAATCATAGTGTGGGGATGACGCGATATCGCCAGCACTGTGATATGATCCACATTCATGGCCATTTGACTTGAGGAAGATCGACCATGGGGATTCAATGAAAACGGGTTGGGTTGTTTTACCATCTAGCAGGCTAAAACTAAGAATATATGAGCTAAAATAAACATGGTAAGAACAATCAATAGGGGGGCAACCAGTATTCTTTTTGATACCTCCAACAATATATGGGACTACAGTACATGGTTTTGTCTCAACATGGATTGGATACCCCGAAATCTGGAATCCACATCGGGAAAATGATGATTTATTCCATTGGGTTTTGACCTTTGTAAGTCTTGCGACAATCTCAAATGCCAGGGCTGATAAACAAAGATTCATAAACATGAGATTCCACAGACATGGATAAACAAAGCTGAAGGTTTGTTGAAGGAAAAACAATGGATTGGATTAAGGGAACATTTACAGGAAAGCCCCATATTTAATGGGAAAATCAATGGTTTCCTGTAAATTTTCCCGTAAACCAATCCATTGAGAAAAACATCATAAACATGGTATTTCCTTTTGGAATTTCTGTTTTGCGTCAACGTTTGTTGAGACGACTCGGAATCCATCAAAGCTTTTTTGGGGATGACCCGGATGACATTGGTGCCACGAGACGTGACTATTTCACTGCTCCAGCCTAACCCAAGACGCCAAGAGCTCATTTTTTTGTGGTTTTGTGCATCAAAATTGAAGGAGATCTCCAGTTTTAGTGGGGAAAATTATGATACACCATGACATTTTTCTTTTTTTCCCCCACATGTGAAACAATCCCAAGGGTTGGGAGTTGGTACAGAAAGTAAGATCGTCATCCCTCCTGCCATTTGTAGATTGGTATTTCATCTGGCAACTGGGGCGTATTTCATGTTTGTAAGGACCGTTGTTGATTGGGTGCCTGTTGTGCCACTTATCATCCTAATATATCCTATAGTTTATAACCTGGAACACTGCGAAATGTGGCGGTCTTCATCCTCAAGCGAAATGTTTCAATTTCAAATAGGTATCAACTACCTATCCCTGTCTCCTACATCCCACTTGTGCAGCTGAAGCCGCTTTACTGACTGGTCACTACACACAATTTACATTTTAACCAATCAGTAACCATGCATCAGAGATAGTAATCACCAATATTATATATATATATGTTTACCAATAAGTAATATATATCCCTATAATTTTATGTTAATCTAATGCAGATTTCTGAGAGGGGGAAAGCAACCACTTGGGACCCCTGGATTTGAGATCAAGTACCGGCTCTGACTTTCCCTAGGAAAACTAAGGTTAACATGTACACATGAATGTGAGTAAAACACTAGTAAACCATCCCCAATTTTACCTTTTTAATTCCTTTTTATCTTTAAACCATCAATCGATATATGGGTGGTTTATTTTTCATTGCTAGCATTAAAAACATCGATTTGTATTTTTTGATCCCATCTAAAACTGGATCCAAACGTCGTGAAAATCCCGGGGCACCGAAGCGAAGTTTCCGAAGGTCACGCACAAGCCATGGCGATTTCAAGATGCCATGCAGGGGGTGGCTCGGCACTCGGCAGGGCCAACGTTGGCGGGAAAACCATCAAAAACAGCCTGAACAACTTGATGGTAGCAATTTATCATGATCTTGGGGATTTTACCCCACTTGGAATGGTCAGGATTTATGAATTTATCATGATCTTGGGGATTTTACCCCACTTGGAATGGTCAGGATTTATGAATTTATCATGATCTTGGGGATTTTACCCCACTTGGAATTGTCAGGATTTATGAATTTATCATGATCTTGGGGATTTTACCCCACTTGGAATTGTTACCCCACTTGGAATTGTCAGGATTTATGAATTTATCATGATCTTGGGGATTTTACCCCACTTGGAATTGTCAGGATTTATGAATTTATCATGATCTTGGGGATTTTACCCCACTTGGAATTGTCAGGATTTATGAATTTATCATGATCTTGGGGATTTTACCCCACTTGGAATTGTCAGGATTTATGAATTTATCATGATCTTGGGGATTTTACCCCACTTGGAATTGGGTCAGGATTTATGAATTTATCATGATCTTGGGGATTTTACCCCACTTGGAATGGTCAGGATTTATGAATTTATCATGATCTTGGGGATTTTACCCCACTTGGAATGTCAGGATTTATGAATTTATCATGATCTTGGGGATTTTACCCCACTTGGAATTGTCAGGATTTATGAATTTATCATGATCTTGGGGATTTTACCCCACTTGGTTACCCCACTTGGAAGTCAGGATTTATGAATTTATCATGATCTTGGGGATTTTACCCCACTTGGAATTGTCAGGATTTATGAATTTATCATGATCTTGGGGATTTTACCCCACTTGGAATTGTCAGGATTTATGAATTTATCATGATCTTGGGGATTTTACCCCACTTGGAATTGTCAGGATTTATGAATCTGGGATATCTGGGGTTGGCATTAGTGGGTATACTTGAAAGGTTTAAATTACCCACCAAAATGGGACCCAAATGAATAGATCCAACATCTAACCAGACAACAAGATGCATGGTGAGGCTTGGGCAATGGTATGCTTTTTTCAGTTCAATGGAGTTTTTTTTTTGTGTACCCTGGCACCATTTTTTTTTTGCAAGGTACACCCTCCGGTCATCAAATGTGGCAAGTGAAACTCCCGTTGACACGATGATGGACGCATGTCATTGCCATGTTTAGCGGAGGGTACCCTCTGGTTATGTCAACAGTTTGCTATTGAAAATGGTGATTTATAGTGAGTTTTCCCATTAAGAATGGTGATTTTCCATAGTTATGTTTGATTAGCGGAGGGTATATCCAAACTTAGCCATGTGAAAATATATCTTCCACGATGGTATACCTCCATGGCCAGGGGTTGCTTCAGCTTCTGTGTTGTTTCGCATCATTGGTCCTCCATATGTTACGAAATGCTAGGACTCCTTGGAAGACCTTTGCATTTGAAGTGGTGGTCCAAAATTGCCTGAGACCTTGGGAACAAATGATGGTCACATCGGAAGTCCCACCAGGATTCAACACTCGACTCACACAAACAGGATTGGTGGCATGAAGTTGGGCAAACACACTAACCGCCACTAACCTCTAAGTGAAGCTGCCACCAACGGGAGATTTCGCAGGTCGGACGAGGGGAGCAAGTCTGCAAAATGCTGGCGAAACTTGGCGGTTTTTGTTTGGGGCGAAGGGTGCGCGACTGGGTCATAGCATCCTGCAGTCGATCGGACTGACCTAAGATGGGCTAGCCATGTTTTGAGATCCCATTTGAGCAGTTAGCGCAGGAAAATATAGTAGTTAAACCACATCATATTGATTTTTTGGTTCTGAAATCCAAATATTTGCCCGGGCCACATCCCAATTTTTAAACTTCCAATTTTTCTTTCTGAAATCCTAGTATTTGTATAGCATCATTTAAATCCCAACTTTCCCCATTCCTCACGAATTTCCCCAGATTTTCTGCTGGACCGTCCAAAAAATCGCGCGCCCAGGTCCCGTTTTGCCTCGCATCAGTTCAGTCGCGCGCCGTCTTCGGAGGAATGGCAGCTCTTCCATCAGCTGCAAGGGGCGCATTCGGCCTACAAACGTCTGCCAGGTCGGGAGGGGATGGGAGCCTTGGGATCCTTGGGATCCTTGGGATCCACCCTATAGTTAGCTCAGTGGCTGGGCGAATTCATATATAAAAAGATGCAGAAAAGACCTTGGAACGTTGGAAAATCAGGGGGGCAGACATCAACTACCATTCTGGTAAACTAACATGGCTATGGAAAATATTGGAAAATCACCATTTTTAATGGGAAACTCACTATAAATAGCCATTTTCAATAGCTATGTATCACATTTTTCTATCGTTTTTTTGTGGCTTGGCAGATGTTTGGTCTTGGAGAGAGAGTGAACATCACTGGAGTTTATATCTGTTGGAGACTGTATCCTCGATAGTTAGCTGATATTTATTTAGGACATTTGCCAAGCCCTGCTGAATCTGGATAAATGGATAGAACTCTTGGAATATATATCTGGTTGGTGGTTTGGAACATGAATTTTATTTTCCATTTCATATATGGGATGTCATCCTTCTCATTGACGAACTCATATTTTTCAAGATGGTTATTGCACCACCAGCCAGATATATAATATATATTATCATATACACACCGCCACGACACAAGTTTTCCTCAAGAAGGCTTTAAGCAACAGCCTTTGGGATTCTTTGGGATTCAGAATCTTGATCTGCAGTGAAGTGAACTTATTGAGCATGCTTTATTAAAGGCTGTCAGCTTAACACATCCCAGTTCATCATGGCGGGTCATACTCATTGCCACAAACGAAAACACAATGGGGAGGATTTTCGAGTGGGACCACATTGATCTGAATCCATGTAACTGTAACTGGGGGTTGAATCTTTTGAATCTTTGGTGAGTTTATACAAACGATATTTTTATACTAAAACGATTGACCGTTTGGAGACTCCCAGGTGATGGTGATGGGTTGAATCACTAGGACTAAGTATATAACAGTTTTCACGGCTTTGTCTGGGGTAAGTAATGAGAAACCATCGGTTTTTTTTTGTACCCTACTTTCAGACTGCGAAACCTAAGAGTCAATGACGAAACCTAAGAGTTGAAAATAGTTGACATACCACGAAAAATGCCGAAATCCTTACCTGGAAGCTATAACCATCTGTTGATCAAGCTGATGATATTGTTTCTTTTAAGCACAGAGCCTGACAATATATCCAAACATCCGGAAACATGAATTATGAATCCTGTGGTTCATTCCAGTTAGTAGTCCATAGAATTTCTAGGGACTGGGACCCGCATTCCCATGATCTTCCCATACTATTAGGGTTTCTTATGGAAGTACTCCTATACCCATAATTATTGGTCTACACCGTGGTGTCCCAGAGTTAGCTTAGTTGGTTTATAACATTTTATAACTCTAAAAACTAGGCTTCATGATGACACATATATATATATATCACATATAAATATATCATTTGTTTGTGAGGGTTATAAACCAACTTACAATTGGGGGCACAGCGCCTTGTAGGAATTCCACGAGTAGTTAACCCAGTTATAACAACCTAGGGTTTCTGTCGGCTTCCATTCGGCGAACAGTTCCGCAACATGTCACTGGGATGAACACAGGCAAATAGTAGTGCTAGGTGATACCCTCTGGTAATTTAACATAGCTATTGAAAATGACAATTTATAGTGGATTTACCCATTGAACATGGTGATTTTCCACAGTTATGTAAACGTTTACCGGAGGGTACATCCCCATTAAAATCCAGTAAATCTCCCATTAAATCAGCATGAACTCCGAGATCCATGTCAAATCTCTTTGGAATCATAGAATCCCTTGAACATCACCATGAACATCCACATCTTTTCTTTCACCATGAACATCCGGAAAATCACCATGAAAATCTATAGATCCCCATTTTCCATAAATCAAAATAAATCACATCCACATGGAAATCATCATGAAAATCTATAGATCCCCATTTTCCATAAATCAAAATAAATCACATCCACATGGAAAATCACCATGAAAATCTATAGATCCCCATTTTCCATAAATCAAAATAAATCACATCCACATGGAAAATCACCATGAAAATCTATAGATCCCCATTTTCCATAAATCAAAATAAATCACATCCACATGGAAAATCACCAGGAAAATCTATAGATCCCCATTTTCCATAAATCAAAATAAATCACATCCACATGGAAATCATCATGAAAATCTATAGATCCCCATTTTCCATAAATCAAAATAAATCACATCCACATGGAAAATCACCATGAAAATCTATAGATCCACATTTTCCATAAATCAAAATAAATCACATCCACATGGAAAATCACCATGAAAATCTATAGATCCCCATTTTCCATAAATCAAAATAAATCACATCCACATGGAAAATCACCATGAAAATCTATAGATCCCCATTTTCCATAAATCAAAATAAATCACATCCACATGGAAAATCACCATGAAAATCTATAGATCCCCATTTTCCATAAATCAAAATAAATCACATCCACATGGAAAATCACCATGAAAATCTATAGATCCCCCATTTTCCATAAATCAATCAACCCCAGTTTTCATGTAAAATGCCAGCATTTTCTCCAGGTGGCAGGCCGACCTGGGGTGTCTCGCCCGGCGGAGCGCTGGAGGAGGAGAAGAAACAGGGCAGGGCACTTTCTTTCGTATCGGATGTGAATCAATAGGATATTCATGAGGGATCTTAGCTATCGACTGGGGGCCCCATCCTGTATGGGATATTACGGGAAGATAATGAGATTTAATGGGATTTAATGGGATTTCAATAGGATGTGGATGAGATTTAATGGGATTTCAATGGGATACTAGAGGATTTCCCCATTACTAGCTATATCATATGGCTAGGCTATATCCCATTGTTGGATTTAACGGTGATTTACCCTCTGGTAAACATACAAAAAGCTATGGACAATGACAATCCTTAATGGGTAAATGAACTATAAATGGGCAATTTTCAATAGCTATGTTGAATTACAAGAGGGTAATGGTGATTTAATATATGATTTAGTGGGGTTTAATGGGACATTTCATGGGAATTTAGGGACATTCAATATGATTTAGTGGGATTTTTGGGTACTAGAGGGGTTTAGTGGGATTTACAAGTCATATTAGGGATATGATGATATGTTACAATGGCATATACGACCAACTGAATTTGGGGTTTACATGATTTTTTGTGGGGATATTATTGAGATATAATGGGATATAAAACCACAAAGCAAAATCAGGGAATATCAGATTCTCAGATATCATTGGATATTATTGGGATATATATATATATATAACCAACTGACTGAATATGTTTTGTTCTTTTTTTTCACACTAGGTACCCTCTGGTGAACTAACATAACTATGGAAAATCACAATTTTTAATGGGAAAACTCACTATAAATGGCCATTTTCAATAGCTATGGTAGTTTACCAGAGGGTAGTGAAGCAATTTCGTGGGGGATGAGAAGCATCTTATCTATAAACCATCCCACATGGCCCGTTGGAGACCCATTTTTCAGCTTGGTGACGCGTTGACCTTTTTCTTATGGGTATCTGGTGATGATTGGGGTGATACTATCATACAATATAGCAACAAACATATCAACAAACATAGCAACAAACATATCAACACAAATATCAACACAAATATGAACAAGAATAGCAACAACAATATCTGATACTAGTGTATCAAGAACATATCAACTTATATACTCATCCCATTGTGGGCCTTGTGGGCCTTGTCATAAGTCCTATGCGAGTGATATGGATCGGAGCTCCATAGGGGATTTTCAATTGCCATGATGACACTGGTCACTGGAGGGTAGGGTGGACAAAATTGGAATATGATCTTCAGTTCGCCAAAATCAGAATTTTTGATATCACCATGAACTATAGTAGCTATAGTTAGTAACTATTCCTAAAGTGCTATCGATTTTGTCAGTTTTTTTTCGTGAAAAAAACCATGTGATCTTCCCAGTCTCCCCGGATTTGTTGCTGATCTCCCCAGAATTCCGGCATGAAACTTTCACCAGTTTCCCCACGGGGAGATGTCTTAGCATTTTTCACCAGTTGTGGTTAAGATATTAAAACAGTATCATCTATGCCAAAAATCCGAGAAAAAGCCTAGATACCAGAATTTTCTCAGTATCATTCTAGTAATCCTTCAATCTGCGAAAATTGAGTGGTCAACTATAGCTATAACTCTAATTAACCAAGCGGGATACCCTCTGGTAAACTAACATAGCTATAGAAAATCACCATTTCTAATGGGAAAACTCACTATAAATGGCCATTTTCAATAGCTATGTTAAATTACCAGAGGGAAGTTAGCTATTGAGTGGGATTTCCCAAACGTCACCAGGATTTAACGTCAACGAACTCAGTAGATCCAACGCATCCCAGAGTCGCATTCGAGGGAGATTTTTTTGTCGGAAGGGATTGCAACAGCTTATGGATGCTATGGATGCTATGGAGAGAGGTATATTTTGATGATAAACACATAAAAAAAAAACATGATTTATATAGCATTTATATAGCTATAAAATGGTGATTTCACTTTCCTAGCTCTACTAAAATGGTGACTTTCCACTTGCCGCTTTTTTCATAACCAGTTTGGGTCAGCAATGAGGGGACAGGGGTTTTGGAGATCTTCGATCCCACATGGTTTTGGGTAAATTATACCCGGCCTGGTAAACGTTTACAGTTTGCGACATAGAAAATGGCCCAATCGAAATAGTGGATTTACCCTTAACAAATGGTGATTTCCCATAGTTGTGTAAACGTTTACCAGAGATACCAGAGGGTAACGATCTCACTGTTCTCCCGAAGCCTGGAATGACGGTTAGTAGGAGAAACAAGAGGAAAATCATCCTCACATGGCCGCAAGATTCAGGTGAACGTGACATTTATATACATTTATCATAGTTTACCCAGATTTCTAGATGATTTTCCCAGGTTTTAGCTTCTATTGATAGGGGATCTTCCATGTGATGACATTGGAGGGTGGATCAAGAATTTTGAGCACTGACATAGCCCTGGAATTGGAATGGTGAGTGCTAAGGCTATGGAAATCTGCCATGGAAAATCCAGCAGACATGGGGAATCCACAGAAAAATCGTTAATGTGCTAAACTGAATGTCATAAACCATCCCCAAGTCATCAGCATTTTGATGGGTGGAATTTCAACCATCCCCAGTCATGGTGGGTTTTCCATATATTGGGTTTACCGCATGATTTTCCAATTGGAGCATATGGGAGCGCCCCTGTTTGGGGAACTACTGTTGAACCCCTGAGCCGCACAAACTCACCCGGAAAGGCAGAGTTAGGGACCAAAGTCAGTGCAGGAAAGTCGATCAATCTTGTGTTTGTTTGGGTGGGACGTATATCATAATAAATCATGATGCAAATCTTTTCTGCTAGCAAACCTGGCCTCTTTTGGCAGAAGAAAATGGTGTTTGCAGCTGGGGGAGTCGGGGGATCCGATTGTGAATACCCGTGGGCGCTTGGAGCATCATTCTCACCGTGAATAGCTCTATGGTATATGTATATGTATGTAAGATATGAACCCAGAACATGCTATAACTATAATTATAGATGTATATATATATTTTAATATGATATGTAAATGGGGATATCATGTATCAGAGGATGGACTTCCTGTCAAAAATTCGACGCGCGCCCTCACTAGTGGGACTGCAACATGTGCATTGCACGAGGTGACGCAATTTGGTAGGTCACAACGAGACCTAGGGTTTTTAGGGCATATATGTATAGTCAATCGAGGTTACAAACCAGCTTCCACCTGGGGATTGTTGCAGACTCACCAGTTTCCACGCACTATGAATCAAGTTAGCAGCCTTGCAGGTTTCCTTTTCTCCTCAGGCCCACTGTACATTGGACCCTGGGCCCCGGCAAGCCCAGCGATGCCCATTGTCAGGACAGGCTCATTAGCGCGCTTGACCACTTGGAAGCGGCCCTGGCTAGCAGTAAGACTGACAGTTTCTTGAAACTTGGCTTGGGACTTAATTGGGAAAAGATGGGATTTCATTATTCAATAAGAATCATGAAGCATCAGATCCCAAAAAGTTATATACGTTTTTTTTGGGGATCTCATCTGACAAGTTTCGATTGAGCCAGAAAACCATCTCGGGGTGAAGCTTTGGATTATTCCATAAAAACCAACTCGGCGGGCCCATCAAAACTTGGACCGACCTGGAAACGGGTGAGCAGCTGATAGTAAACAAATGCAAGCAGTAAACAGTAAACCAATTGGTTGTGCGGGCCCAATCTCATAACTGGGTCAAGTGCCAAGTCTTCAAGACGAATTTGCCACAAGTGACCGTTCTTTCTCCAGATATAATCATCCCCAACCACCGTGTTTGGCAGGTAGTTTCACATGCTCGCCTCTTTTCCATTTCTCTTGGAACGATGATCACTAATGTTTCTTAATGGTTCATGTTTTTTAATGGGAAGAACTTTGAGTGGGAGTGGCCCAGCTACGGCCGACACAATTTGATTCCCATTTATTTTCGGATGATGCCCTCATCCTTTGCTCACCGTTTTTGTTTTTGGTAACCCCCAAAAATTTGGAAAGCATGAAAAAACCAGCTTACCGTTTTTGAGTAGGATATGTTTTTTCTAGTTTTATTGGGGGTCGCCATAGTTACACCAATAATCATCATCATATCTCTACCCGGATCTATCCCCACGTTTTGACAGGTTTGAAGCAGTTTTTCGGCGGAACGCCCACACCAACACTTTATTCGAACTTTGGTTTTCACTTTTGGACTCCCGGAATATCTCAGTGAACCCAGATATGTCAGGAACGAATTTCTGGTTGGTTTCAATCATGTTTCATTTCCAGCATTTTTTCACCTCATTTTGGATGATGATCCCAATTGACGTATATTTTTCAGTGGGGGGTCGATGCCACCAACCGGATTTGGATCAAAAAAAAACTCGCCTGCGGCGGTTAGGAACGGAACAACGCCCCACATGATTGAAACTCGGTCGCCAAGATAAGCTGGTCAACCGGCTGGGTTTTTGGGTTTCGTTCTTGTTTTTTTTTTTCCTGGGGATTTTTTTTACGAACAATTTCATGGTGATTATGGTGATTATGGTGATTTAGCCAATACATAAATAGGGATACCCACTGGTGAACTAACATAGCAATGGAAAATGGCCATTTATAGTGGATTTTCCCATGAAAAATGGTGATTTTCCATTGCTATGTTAGTTTACCAGAGGGTAAACTTGGGAATATTTCATGGGATGGATCAACCGGCGGGATGGTTTGGGGATTGTGTCAACCAAAGCAACGGTGGAAACATTGCGAGATTCGCCATGAAAATGCACATGTTTCATCAATATAGATTACACAATGTGGAAATTCAATGGCAGGCCATCTAGATCATCAGCATCCATCAACTAGATCCTGTGTCTGATGACATTTTACGGTTCTTGGTTATTTACACCCGTTTGGCAAATCACCGGCTGTTTCCTCGCTTGAAATACACTACGTGTTTTGCACACACGGGTGAATCCCCATTTTTGTTTCTAGGCCTTCAGCATTTGTTGGTTCATATACGCAAAATGTTGATGTTTCTCCCTTTTATTCAGACCAGACTTATACGATCTGGTGATACAATGCTGATTCCTGCTGATTCCTGTCAACTCCTTGTTAATATTCCTTTCGCTTTTGCAGATCATGTATAGTCCCAAGAAATCTCAAACAATGTAAGGAAAGTCCGATCCAACACAAAAATCTGTGGAAAAAAAAACCCATGTTCCATGCAGGACCTTATGTTGCTGCCGATGCTGGAAAGAGTGGAGGATCCCGGGGATCAAAGCCCTGGTATTTTCCGACACCCTCAAATAGCTGGTGAATGAATGGTTCATGTCATGAAAACAATGGCCATTTCAGGAACCGATAACAATTGGAGGTACCGATTCCATATATTTTTGGCCTATGTTTCAGGCCTATGTAAGGGAATATACCCCCAAAATATGCCCGTATATGGTACAGTACCTCCATTTTAGGAGCCTGAAATTCCCATTGATGGTTATTCCCTAAAATATGTGTCAAAAATGGTCAAAATATGGTATGGCGGCTTGACTCATAGCCATTTATAAATGGGATCACCCACTGAATGGGGACTCACTAGCCAGCGTTATGTCGATTTGTGGAATGATCCTCCAAGTGTGACATTTTTTGGGTGACACATTTAATATCGGATGATTCCAGGCGGGTTAATTCATGGGATGTCACCAATACTGGGAGATTCAAACTTGGAGATTTTTCGAGATATATCACCGAGTCGATGGCCTTAAGGCTTTTCCCTTGAATTTTCAGGCAAAGCCGAAGATGAGGTCTAACCCAGTTTCTTTCGAATTCGCACATAGGATCAACCGAATTGATGTTTTTTTCCTATATGTTTTTTTTTCCGAATGAAAGACCCCCAGATCAGCCAAGTCGTGGGTCAGATTTTTAATATGTTTTTTTTTTTCGACAGGAATGATTCAAGACATTCCACTAAGTTAGTGTCTAGGACGAGTTTCACAATTCATTAGGATATGAGTTTCAGGGACTTGTCAATGATGGTCATCGGGGATGGGTGAAACTTCAAGTCTGGACCACAGATTTTAGTCTATGTTGAGTTAAAAAAACTATCGGTACGAAATTTCGACCTATACCCATTGACAAATGACTCGTACGTGTTACTCATTGGACTGGAAGGTGGGATTTTCTCGCCGACGACGGGAACACTGAAAACCTATGAAGAATTGATAAGATTACTGTAGTACCCCAGAAGGATAGAACAGGTTCAATTGATCAGTATTTTCTATCTGAAGGTTGCTATAAATGATATTGGTCTTGGTTTTCACATCGTCATACAGAAGGTTTCAAGCAAAAACTCAAGGGGAGATGGTGATTCCTGATCGATGTTCATCAATTTTTCATATTTTTGGGAAGGGGTTAATCAGTACATATCATATTTAAGTTAGGACATTACTGGGCACAGCTTGGAATCAAATGTTTTCTTTTTTCTTTTCCCCCAAATGTTGTTGGGTATATTTTCTAACCAAAGCAAGTGCGTATCTAGGATTGGCCATGATTGATTCCCTAAACATATTATACTGGTTGGTGGTTTGGAACATGACTTTTATGACTTTCCATATATTGGGAATAATACCCCCAACTGACGAACTCATATTTTTCAGAGGGGTGGCTCAACCACCAACCAGTATATAAACTCATCAACCTCCTCATTTTTGCCGGGCCAACTTCATATTTTATTGTGATGGATCTGCTCAAAACAGCAACCTCAAACATCTTAGCCAACATTAGAACCTGTCCAAACTATACGGTAAGTTTATTGGAAATCCCATTTGCTATATAGTTTTACCCCCATGAGCCGTAGTTAGCTGCTATATTACATCTATTATTCCCTGACATTACTATTGCTGTCCCAATTAGCTACTGATTGATATCACTTCTCTCCATTCTTGACATGAATATTATACTGACTATACTATTATTCGTATCAATAATAGTATATAAAGAACCACAGTTTGATCCGGAAAAAACTGGACAACTGGAAAACCATTGAGCACCTCGGAACCTGGCCCTGCGTCGGGCCTTGGTCGCCCTGCGAGGCCCTGTTGTTCCATCCACTCCTCTCGAAGCTTCCTCAGCTCTCGGAGGGATGGTCAGGCTGTTGGAAGATGTTGGAAGAAGGCCGACGCCCAGGTGTCTGTCCCTGGACATGGCGGATCAATGGGAGATTTTGGTCGCAAACATTGGGCTTTTCACGGGGAAGAAAAGGATTACAAGGGGATTACAATGGGTGGGCTTAGCAAAACTTGGGGAATTGATGGGCTTTTGAAGGGTATCAAACCTATGAGGCCATTAGCTGGAGGCAAAGTCAGCGATTTTTCATGGGACACCTTCAGTGACATGACCATGACCCCACGATGACGATGATGGCTTTACCCTTTGGTCAATGAAGAGTTTGACAATGGGAACATCACCTCGATTTCTAGTGGAATCTATCTGGTTGGTGGTGACTGGAACCATGGAATTTTATGACTTTCCAGAACCAGTTGGGAATGGAAACATCATCCCAACTGACTTTATTCGTCCATCATTTTTCGGGGTAGGCAGCCGCCACCAACCAGCAACGAAGTCTTCCAACCCCTGGGTCAAGCAGTGCTATGTGCGGGGCCGCCCGCAGGACAATCCTTCAGGATTCCCATGGATCCCCCAAATGGATGGTAATTGATCCAAGCGATGACAGTCAATGTGCAGAAATTTTCCGAACACCAACAATGGATCACCAGTACAGTCTGTAATAAGTGGAGCGTGGTCGAACAAGTACTGCTCAGTAGAGCGTGAGGGAGCAAACCCAACTGCAACGGCATTCCTGGGCTGACTGAGTGTTTTGAAAAATCAATGGATTGCCTTATGGGATTTACCCGGCCTGGTAAACTATATAACAGTTTGCGACATAGAACATGGCCCAATCGAAATGTCGTGAGTTTTCCCATGAAACATGGTGGATCTACTGAAGCCAGGTTCAAACTGAAAATAGAAAACGGTGTCAACTCTTGGCAGGGCATCTTGCCAAGGCACTTAAAAGGAGATAGTCGTAACATGTTACAACAATATACAATACCCATTTATAGTGGATTTTCCCATTAAAAATGGTGATTTTCCATAGTTATGTTAAATTACCAGAGGGTAACAGAAGTTTCAGGCTGTGAAACCTTTCATCTATGAAGATTTGACTGGGGAATAAACGGTCAAATTCCGGGAAAACCCTGGTAACGCCGACGTATATTATGTACATTCTTTGCTGGAGGGCGGGCTCATGCAAAATCTTCCATTGAAACAATGCTAGGAACTCTAGAGTATTGAACTCCCAAAGTTTCTGTACTATCACTGTCCTCTGATCTGTCACTACAGCAGTGCCCACTAGTTGCAAGTTGGCTGATTACTCGTCCAACTATAGTTGTATGGGGGTTACATCCATCTATAACATCTATAATTGGATGACTTTAGGGTACCCCCATTTCAGGAACCCCCATATAATATATACCCTCTGGTTATTTAACATAGCCATGGAAAATGGGACAATTGCCTATTTATAGAGGGTTTACCTATTAAAAATGGTGGTTTTCCATGGCAAACTGTTAAATAACCAGATGGTAATCGCCATAGACCCTAGTTAACTTAGTTAAACCAACTTAGCTAGATACAGGGCATCACCTTGAAGGTCTTCGAGACTTTCAGGCTTTCGGGCTTATGCTGGTTACATTCTTCTTGGAAAACACATAGGGCCAAAGAATTGCTGGTTTTCACTGCCGGAAACATGGCTTCAAAACCTGTAACTTAATGTAAATTGAGTCTATTAATGTTTATTATACAATTGGGAATCTTTATTTGTTCTTATTTTCTAAGGCAACGAACTCTTAGACTGCGCTTAGAAAATTCGGAATCACGAGATTGAAATAGAACAGGACACACTTGCAACATGCACGACTTGAAAGCATTCACCAAACTGACCGTTGAACTCGAACTAAGGTTCCTTCGGGGAACTCTGCAGCGATGCAGATTCTTGGCGATGGCAGGTTTTGCCTTCAACAAAAACGCGCAAGCGGATATATTAATGAGGATATAATAGGGATATAATAGGGATGGCATCCAATTAATTACATCCTATTATGGCATCTATAATGCGGATATATTGAGGATATAATAGGGATATCGTGGGATGTAATTAATTGGATATGATGGAACATAAGCTTAATCAACACTATGACATGGGTCGGTTGATTCTTAGACATGCATAGCCACAAAATGGGATGATAAACTTGGGATGTACTAGGATATAAACCAACCACAATGCGGACATATCATGGTTTATAGCCTGAAATATGACATCGGTTTGTCCAAAAGTCAACAAATTCGGCAATTTTAAGAGAGACAATTATGATCAACCATCAACTTGTTTGATCCAGACGAACCAGTTTGATGTTCATGTTTGTCCGCATACTGAAATTTAGCATTGAAATGGAAGAGCCACCCCAGATAAAGGATGTGTTTGGACAGGTATTTTTCTGATCGGAAACGGCAAGTTTGGGGCATTCTGTGTTACACTTCTTCCGTGTGCGGCTGCTTCATTGCCTTTTGTTTGGTGTTTGATATTGCATGTATGTATGTATGACTATGATTATGTTTATTCTTGTAATATTGCAATGCTTGTTACAGAATACAAATACTCAGTTATTCAATTCTTACATGTAAAATATCGTTATCTATACATGTGCTGTTATTATTTGGTCTTTTGTCATGTTTTCGCGACTACAATTGCCGTTGCTACCCTATCATCGGCTTCAGTGGTTTATCCCATATAAATGGCATTGTATACCATGGAATAATGGAATATTATATATATATTATATATAACTCGTTATACTTACTAATATCCCATAGTAACCATAGTAATAATTATGTTTCTCACTAGTTATAAATGGCTTATCCCACTTAAACATGGAGGTGTAACTATGGCTACTAACTAGTGGGAAACATATTGCTTCAGAGGATCATCTCATTTTTTCTCACTAACTTTGGAATTCGGATTAAGTGAGTTAATAGGATAACCCAAATTAGATGATATACAATATAGATATAAGATAATGTTCATTTATATAACCAACTTTGGTTCCCATAGCATTCACTTCATTAAACTTCGAAAAAACGAGTGGTTCCCATAGCCAGGAGACACTTCTAGCCATCTCGCTACGTGAAGATCCAGGACGCACGAACTACAGATCTCTCGAGGGGACCATCCTGGAACCACAGCAGTCCTTGATGGAAGCAGCTGAGGTTCCCTGTGGTCATGACTAACAGTTCGCCATGGAAAATCCCCAAAATAAATGGATGTTTCTAGCTGGGAAAATCATCTATGAATCAATGGGTCATAGTTTTTTCATAGCTAAATAACCAGAAAATGGCCATAGAAATAGATGGTTTACCTATTAAAAATGGTGATTTTCCATGGCAAAGTGTGAATGTCATAGTCAGATGGTGGATGGGATGAGGGGATAGACTGGAAAGTTCAGCAACATATGGGGAGCTCACCAAGAAGACATTGGGAGATCTTGGAGATTCTGCTGTGGCTTCAACAGCAAACAACGCTTGATTTCAACGCAAGATTCATCTGCAGAGATTCGGGGGGGTCTTTAGCCAGCAAACATATGGGGAGACGAACATGAGGATTCATCATGATCTTACATGGGAGAATTCGCCTCAAACATAGACTTAAAACCAAATAAGCTTCGGTGGTATCCCCAACAGCCGCAACGTTTTAGTTTTACGAATCTTTCTGAAGCGTGCTGCGAAGCCAAGCGCTGGAAACACTTCAGCATGCTCCAAAGCCTCCCACACCTTCTCCGGAACCTTCTCCAGATCCCTGTTGAACCTGACCTGGCTCTGCACCAAAGCCTCCCAGACCTTCACGGGAACCTTCGGAGCCTTCTCCGGAAACTCGTTCAACCTGACCCGGCGCCTGCACCAGTGCACACCGGAGCTATTCTGGGCTGGGAACCCCAATAGCTTACGCTGTTGGGGGAAAAAACGATCATTTCCTTTAGTTTGGTGGGATGGTCATTATGATCAGTGTCGTGGGTTTGTGTGAGAATTTGGGGGAAAACTTAAAAATCCAATGATATCCAATGGCTTAGCAACGTGTCCCAATTAAAACAGCTGTTTGTGGGTACCTCCTGCAAATCCCCCTTTGCATCAATTGGTTGCTTAAATCCCAGTAAACCCGCATGAGTCTCACAATTTCTACAAGGTCGGGCCACCAAACGATAGCTAAGTTGGTAAACAGAACTTGGTGAACTGTTGGGTTTATTGGGGATGTAGCATGATAAGACTATAGTATTCATGAGTTTTATCGGCAATGAACTAAAAGAGACAATAACATGACCCAGTCGAACTGATCAAGGTTGTTGGGTTTATTTCATGGGGTTCATATGGAGGTTTCCTAAAATGGGGATACCCCTGAATTATAAAATTTATAAACAATCCATTTTGGGGGTACCCCCATTTTAGGAAACCTTCATATAAACTATATAAGTTACAACTGGAGGAGCCCCAACCTGGACTGTGAGGTGGCGTCCGCCCAGCCGCCCGACGCCTGCCGTGAAGCCGCCGCGAAGCTGGCGGGCAACGCAAAGGGCGTGGCCGGCTTCGCGTGCGCCGGGCGCGGCTGTGGGAGAAGAAGAGATGAGGTGCCGAAGGTGAAGAAACAGGAGACACCACCGGTGGCGGATGGAAGGTCAATGAGATTCTGATGGTGATTTTGATGGGGATTCTAGTGGGATATTAATGGACATTGAATGGGTTTCTCTATAGTGATTTAATGGGATATTGATGGGATAAATTGAGGTTCAGTTAGAAATTCATAGGATATACCATTCGGATCCATTCGGTAGTCAAAGGTTGGCGTGCTGGAAAATCAGTGATTTATAGAGGGGTTTCCCAAATATTTGTTTTGTCAAAATTGGATACTGTATTTACCCTCTGGTAAACTAACATAACTATGGAAAATCACAATTTTTAATGTGAAAATTCATTATAAACGGCCATTTTCAATAGCTATGTTAGTTTACCAGAGGGTACCGATTGAGATTAATGAAGTACCCATCTATTTAAGAACATGGGATATAGTTTGTAGCGAGGGGATGGAATATTTGCCCCGATAGTGAGGGATATTAACCATTTAGTAAGGGGTATTCACAAATAGATACCATGTTTGTAAAGATTGGATTTACCATGGGATATATTTTGCAGATTTCAATGATTTGGTATTATGGAAAATCAGGATCAAACCAACTAGTCTAGGACCGAACTGGTATTATCACTGGGATGAAGGTTATATAATGTTATATATGTCTACATATAATCATGTTCAATAAATAGCAAATGCTATAAATGTTATACAATGTTATAAATGGCCATGTTCTATGTCGCAAAGTGTTAGTTTACCAGGCCGGGTAGTTGTATTGATAGTAGGGAAGCCCCTGAGGACAATTGACATGGCATTCAACAAAAATCGGGATCAACAGATTGGAACACATGCCACTTCTGCTGCTGAAGGTAACTTGTGTATTTGATACATACATTGGTGACCATTGTTGTATTGTTTTGATATATATATATATGTATTGTACTTGTTCACGTTTTTCTCAGCATCTACGGAAGTTACTTGTTGCACATATACATACGCAGACACATAGTAACATACACTTACATGCCCACATATCCAGTTACATGCCTCTAGAAATAGAATATATATATATATATATATGAATGATTATATATTAAATATTAAATATTATATATATATATCATCATATATATATATATGTGATTATATATGTATGTATATATATATATACAGGTTCACATACTGAGGGGCATACTGCACTGAGACTGTCGTAATCCCAGGATTTGGCTGAAGTGGACTTGGCTTTGCGATGCGTGGTGTCATCCATGCTGAGGCGCCTGGGTGTTTCCTCAAGGAATCCCAAGAATAATACCCGGCCTGGTAAACGTTAACAAAAAACGATGGACAGATCCACCATGCTATTAATGGGTAAATCAACGATGTCTATGGTCCATTTTCAATAGCAAACTGTTAGTTTACCAGAGGTTACTGATTCTTGGCACCCATTCACATCTATTTGATGCTATACATGGCATGTTTCAGTCACGCTGGATGCACATCGGAAGCTGCGGCGAAACCATTTTGATCTTGATCTGAAACGGACGGCCAGAAATGGGGATGTCGCCTTCGAAATAGAGACGCTTCCAACGTGTCTATTTATATATATATATATAAAACACCACAAAATGGAAATTACTCACCCCATTTATGGCATGATAAACCGATTTACAAACATAAGGACAACAATTGAAATCTCTGGTATTTTGGGCCTCAACTACCACACCAAAAAAGTGTGATGAAGGCCCAAAAGATGGAAATTCACCGAAATTCAGCACGGCCTTGTTCAGCGAAATGACAACGAGCCACTGATGATCTAAGTGCTTGTGAAAGTGAAATTCTCCCACCTTTTCGAGATTTGAGAAAAATCCGGGGCTCAAATCTTGTGGTATGGTGGATATATCCAATCTTTACTTGGTTCCTCTAATATTCCCTACAACAGCAATAGTGAGTGCACCAGGCATCTAGCGACGTTTGTATTCTGTTGCTCTCCTTTGATCCCAGCAAAAACTTCACAAAAAGCCACTATATCCCCTGGCTGGTTACTCCCATGAAGATCATATAAAGTTGGCTAAATTATTTATTCCAATCCCCACATTGATTGGTTACCCTAGGGTAAACATAAGATGTGGAAAACCCATGAAAACCAATGGTTTCGGAAAATAAGCTACAAATGATGGGTGTAAACCTCATCTATGTTAGTTTACAGGCGGCTACATCCCCATCTCATTTAACTTTTGCACCTAATCTCATATCCTCACGAAATGACCCGTGAACTCCCCGTAGGTTTGGCTCCTGGATGGATCCCCTGGGCCCCGGCCTCCATTGCAAGGCCAGATAGCCCAGCAGAACTGGAAGCTTCTGCGCGCCGTAGCGCGCGAGGCTTGGAGAGCGAAGGAGCTGCGGCCACGGTCGTTGCTTGCAGGGTCTAGCTGTGGGAAGATGTTGGGCAGTTTGGGGTATCAAAAATGGCTATAAAGATGGTGGTATAGCTATGGTTTATGGATGTTTATGGTAGAATATAACTATAGTTAATGGGGTTAAAAAACCAACAAGTCAAACGTTTCCCTCTGCGGTAAACTAACAGTCTGCGATTTCATGAAGTCATCAACTTTGAGAATTTTGCAGTATTTTTGACACCTTGGCAAGCACAAAATGCACGTAATTTTGCATGTGTTTTGCATTTTGCCTGTGTTTTCTGAGGTAACATGGCATTTCTTCATGTTTTGGGGGGTCCGAAAAACAAGCCTTTTTTTTAACAAAAAAAAAGCTATTTTGCCTCAGTTCTGTGACATTTGAACTCGCGCGAATTTCTTTTTCCTTATTATTCACCTCAGTCGATTGGGTTCCTTTCCAGCAGCCACAGACAAGTGAGTGACATGAGACCGCGTGAATCTCCATTGCCTGTGTTCTCTGAGGTAAAAGGCATTTTGTCATGTTTTGGGGGTGCCCAAAACGAACTATGTTTTTGCAACATGCTATTTTATAACTCCATTGTTTGGCGTTTGAACTCGCGTGAATTTCTTTGTCCTTCTTCAGCTGAGCTTGAGTTCGTTTCCAGCAAACAGGTTAATGACATGAGAGTGCATGAATCTCCATTGCCAAGCACGAATACTAGGGCAAAAGAGGATTGGCTACAGATCAATGGCTTACTAAATCTCGTAAATCCTGGTAATCCCTTTCACATCTCATGAAAACACTGAATCAATTAAACCAACTGCACCAGTTCAGCTTATATCATCTTTACATCCCACTATCATCTATGATGACTTCCTGATTGGGTGAAAGAAACCAACCATTCATAGAAAATATGCCGTTGAATTCCCATTGATAGTTGGTTAAATCCCATGTAATCTCCATATCAATGTTATAAGCTATATTTCAGTTTATGTTTGTTTAAATCCAAGCTAACCTAATCTAATCCCACTACAAATCCCCAGAAGCCACATTAAATCCAATTGAAACCCGTTAATATTTCCCTTGATGGTAGATATCTTCTGATTAAACGTGATGTAGTGGCTTCATGATATAGATATTTCCCCTTAAAGCACTGGGGTATATTTTCCTCTTAATGCGATCCCATCGATCGATTAGAAGCTCCAAATCATCTGCCCAGGTTCCATTATATCCCCAAAAAAATCCGAAGAAAAATCGCATGATATTATCAGACTATATATTACCATGAATTACTATATTCCCATGATATACTAATATACTACCATGAATGGCTTTAACTATAGACTAATATTCCCATCTAAGAATCAGACTAATATTCTCATTAACTATAGATATACTACCATGAATGGCTTTATAGATGTTTTTTTTGTGGCTTAGTGGAATGATTGCCTGACATGTTCCATGAAAAAATACTATTTCGTTCATATTTCTATCATCACTAGAAAAGATTAGTTTCTATTTTGATATCTATTACTCTTGCCATTACTATCCCAATTCATGGCTTTATATCCATTAAACCATTAAACCTAGTTTAAAGATTTCCCTTGTAAACCTTACCCTATGGTAAACGTTTACATAACTATGGAAAGATCCACCATTTTTAATGGGTAAATCCACTATGTCTATGGCCATTTTCAATAGCTATGTTAGTTTACCAGAGGGTATCCCTAAAATGGTGAATTTAAAGTTAGTCTACATACAAACCCAATATATCGTCTAATAGTTGTATAATGTTATATCCCCCTAAAAATCGCGACTGAGATTATCAGACTCAAATTTTAATATTCCCATTAACTAACAATCTTCCCCTGTAAACCTTAGGTTAATGTGACGTGACCACTTAGATGGGCCATAGGATTAGCTAACTGGTTAATAACTGGGGATATAAGCCCATATATCCCAATTATAATCCATTTACTAGCTAGTTAACTAACTCCATGGCCCATCTAAGCAGGCTTAGTAGCTCCGAGTAGCTCCCCAGGTTCCAGCTCTGCGCTTCCTCTCGCAGAACATCGCCGCCCCCCGCGACCTGGGCCGAAGCGCCGCAGCAGCGCTGCGTGCGTTTCTGCGGCTGCAGCTGGCGGCGCTGGAGCAGCGGCCGCCGGCGCGAGGTCCGGGGCGGGAAAAGATGGGAAAAACGCGTGGAAAATGTGGGAAAAACGTTGGAAACTATAGGAAAGTTCATGGAAAAATGAAAAATGTTGAAAACCTTGGGAAATGGTGGAACATTGGGGTTGGATTTCATAAAGCACTAGACATTACCGGGAAAAAACATTTCCTTTGACCAAGAAAATTGGGAATATGGGACGATTTTACTGGTTTACCATCAAACAATGATACGCAATTGTAGATTTTAGCATCTTTGGAAACATAATTTGTGAAGATGAGGATTTCACCAAAACAAATGGTTTGGAACTATACATGATTGTTTGTCCAACACGAATGTGGATTTCCTGGGGTATTATGCGCTAAATATGGGCATAAGAATTTAGAAAATTGGTTTTCAAACCACAAGATAAAACGGCGGTATATCCAGCAAACATGTGGGTTAAACGAAGGAACATGATGATTTCGAGCAGTGGTGAGTGTTTATGGACTATGAATAGTTTGCTGATGAACAGTTACAGTGTTTTCTTTATTTCAAGTGTTGAATCTACCCTCTGGTAAACTAACATAACTATGGCAAATCACCATTTTCAATGGGAAAATCCGCTATAAATGGCCATTTCCCATAGCTATTTTAACATAACCAGAGGGTAAAAAGCAAGGTTTGGGTGGTCTTGGCTGGGACATGTGTGATTCGGCCGGGGTGGTTCATCAACCTGGCGAAGAAGTTACCTCGCTGGGATATTGTCTATCCATTGATAGCATTTTACAGCTGGCTTACCCTCTGGTGAACTAACATAGCAATGGAAAATGGCCATAGAAATAGTGGATTTTCCCATTGAAAATGGTGATTTTCCATTGCTATGTTAGTTCACCAGAGGGTAGAATTCCATCAAATAACGAGTTACTAACTTGAATTCGGAACCTTTTTTTTCCCTCACATCCCCATGTTTCTTTAGTTAGACCCCGTTTGAAATACCCATAAAGATCAGTTTAGGATGAATTTTCAGGGAAGATCCCCACAAAATTTTAGGCTCCAAAATATGGTATGACTCGTAGCTCCATTGTAGGCTCCGGAAATTTCCATTGAGATAACCATTGGTTTATAAACCCCATAAACTATAGAATTATAGATATATCACCTATAAACCATAGTTATTATAATATATAGGTGAAGTATGGGAATCTCCATTGACTAGTGATTGTAACTAGTACCTGTTCCGTTCCAACGCCCTATGACCAAGGTATCGCTCGACCGATCGCAAGATCCCGGCCTTCAGGCCGGATCGCCCTTTGCTGCCGCCGGTGTCAGGGGGTGGCAACGGTTAAAATTTGGGTTTATAGCGGATATAACATTATACCGCTATGTAGTACATATACATTGGGTTTGTATGTAGACTAACTTAAAATTCACTATTTTTGGGATAATCCAATTTTCAAACACAATCGGAATTCATAGGTAACCTGGGTGATCTCATCATTATCATCCCACATGGAGGAATACTAAGTCACGGTCGAATGACTTGGATGAGACCAGAGCATATCCGATATGTCGAAGAAAATCAAACTTGCTTTCTTCCAGTTTACCTTGGGTGTATAAATACATGTGTATGTATGTGTATATATATGATATATTAGAAAATATATATATAGGTGTGTATTGATATGTCATATATATATATACATATTGACACATAGTCAAGATCTTTGTACATGTAATTCGTTAAATGAGTTGGTAACTTGCCACCAAGAAAAACAGAGCCTATGGCAATCGTATGCGATCGTCTTTTTTCATATCGGGCCATCGGAATGGGAGGCTGAACATCCAGCTACAACCTACAAGGTGGTGCCCCCCAAACGTTATGTTTATTGGTTTATAAACCCCATGAAAACTAGCTCGATAAATCACCTATAAACCATAGTTATTGGAGTTATAAGCCAACTTAGCTATCTTGGGGGCACCACCTTATGTATTTTGGTATGAACAACAGCGTATACACATGCTGATTTCTTTGGGTGTTTCTTTTCATCACCCAAATGGTTGTTCGGACTTGGAAGTGCAGTTCCAGTTATAAGTATATCTATAGTTATAGTATGTTATAGTTATCTAATACATGTAATCAGTTATAAGCATATATATATATATAATGATATATAACTGATATATATATAATATAGTATATATTATATTATATATATTATATATATATATATATTATATATATATGATGATATATAACTGTCTATATATATAGACATGTATTTCTAGCTATGGATCAGCCGGTGGTTTTCCACCGGAATGATGATGATCCATGGGCACTTCTCTAGTGAGCGGTATGAATTTCTCCAACCCTCGGCCCGGCCCTTTGTTGGTTCAAAAATGGAAGAACAGAACTGGAAGATCCAGCATTTTTTAACTGAACAACTACGGTTTATGGTAGATATAACATGATATAACTACGGTTAACTGAATAACAACGATTTATCCATGATAATAATGTGGTAACTACGCTTTATGGTAGATATAACGAACTAGTTAATGGGGATTATAATATAATGGTTTATAAACCAACTTAACCGGCCTGGTAAACTGTTACAAAAAACTATGGAAAGATCCACCATGCTATTAATGGGAAAATCCACTATTTCTATGGTAATTTTCAATAGCAAACTGTTAGTTTACCAGAGGGTAAATCATCGAACTAAATGGTAGTTGTCCGTAGTCATGTTAAATTACTAGAGGGTATCCAGAAAAGAATGCAGGTCAGGAAACGGTAGTTGACTTTGTCATTCTTAGATACCCGAAGAGTCTTTCCAACACAAAACAAATCAGACTTTGTGCTTAAAACTACAATCATTTCGCTATGTTTTTTCTTTCAATGTCTTGTTCCATCCAAGAATTGACAGATTTCCCAAAAGCATCCCCATGTTTGTTGGCATCTCTCCCCAAAACGATGTTGCCATTTTCAGCAATTTTTACTGAATTTCTTCCATGGCAATTTATAGTCATTCAATTTTGAAACTAAATTAGCCCACTTTATACCTTCAAACATATTCAAACTGGCAATTCTCATCAGTTCTATTCATTTCTAAGCAAGATTCATGAGTTTTTAGCCAGTTTGCAGGTCGAAAAAAAATGGGGTGAAAAACTGATGACAGTTGACCCAACTGTTCTCGTTTGCAGGTCCGGCAGTAAAGAAAGCCTCGACGAGAAGCTTTGGCAAAATGCGAAGAAAAAGTTGGCTTATCCCAGGGATTGTAAGGGGTAGATTTTTTTCTATTATTTATCATGTTTATATCATCTTATTTAGATATGATTATAAATATATATATATATATGTACATTGTTGAATTGAATCGGCTTATATAATCTATCCATCATCCATCTCTGTTCATCCAAATCTGCTTCAATCGAAACTCTGGTGCAAGGCACCACGGTGCCAGGTTCGCGAACTGGACGGCCGGAAGTGGCAACGTGTGATGTTGAAAGGAAGGAGGCGCAGCAGCGAGTGAACTCACAGCGGTAGCATTCCTGGAACAGCCTATACACTTTATAGAGCTTGGTTTGGTAGATCAATGAGTCACTGTTTTTTAAAAGCCTGAAACTTTAAGCGATATTCATTGTTTTTCAGCATATTCAGTTTCCAAAGAAGATGTATTAATAGTATACAGATGTAGCGCATCACCACATCACCGGGCCAGGTTTCCAGGTTTCCAAAAAACCAACCGTCCCCTGAGTCCCCTCCAGGGAGTCGGTGCAAGAGGGCGCCTTGCGTTTGATGGATGCCTAGCGAACTATGGGGGGATACCAAGGAAAACAGGAGGCTTTCACCAAATGAAAAGCCTATGAAATGACAGGAGAAGGTGATTTGGATAGTTCCAAGCATGGATAGTTTGCGGGATCCTGATGGATGGTTACATGGCGATGAGTCCAAGCGCCCTGGTGCCCATTGATGGAGCAAATAGGGTCGATTTTTTTGGATCGACACATCCCCACATATCATTACATATTCTTACAATGTGAGCCCCCCCTGTTATAAGTTGGTTATAAATCTATTAACTATAGTTCTTTCACCCATAAACCCTAGTTAGCCAAGTTATAAGTCAACTTAGCTATCTAGGGTCACCTTGTATCCATACTTGGAGCCCGCTATCCAATGGTGCATGGACAACGTAGGAAATCGAACCTTGATATTGCCAGGAATCTATGATTGGTAACATTAACTTGCTGATATGTCCCAATTTTGATGGTTTATCACCATTTTTTCTATTATTGGCGCTCCCAAATCATTACAGTAACTTGGTGTTCCCAAGTATATCCAAATTATGTCTGTGTAGTTGGTGAACTCCCATAACCCATGAAATCATCGCATGGTCAGTGGCCAACTTTTGCCCTGGATGGTGGAAGCCTGACCTCCGGGGAAAGGCAGGCCACACAGCGTTGCGCGTTGCCAGAAGAGTTTTTTTGACCAACCGTGAGGATCGGTGGTCAAAACTAGCGCTGGCAAACAAACTTGGTAGAGTCTTGCTAGAGTATGAAATGTGTGATTCTTATTATTTTAAATGAGTATAGTATATATATTTATATATATTATATGAGAGTAGCTTTTGCATGTCCAGGCTGCGGCTTCAATATGTTTTTACATCAGTGTGATTTTTCTGCGTCCAAAAATACCATGGGATGCAAAACGGCTCGCCATGCGACCGAGCCTCGCCGGGCTGGCAGAGTTGTGTAGAGCTTGGTGGGTGACTTGATGTTGTTGCATGACCTTGAAAGTGAAAGAGTTCCAAGATTCAGAAAGCTAGACTCATTTGACATACCATCTGGTCATTTAACATAGCCATGGAAAATCCCTTATAAATGAGGGCTTTAATGGGAAAATCATCTATAAATGGGCCATTTTCCATGGCTATGTTAAATAACCAGAGAGTATATATATATATATCTGGTTAGTACTAACTGTACCATCTGGTGAGTAAACCATTAGGTACTATTTTCCATTACTATGATTAGATATATTATGATATATTACTGACTGGTGGTTGCAAACATGATTTTTATTTTCCATTTTATATATGGAATAATCATTCCCATTGACTTTCATATTTTTCAGAGGGGTTGAAACCACCAACCAGAATATATATATATATATGCATATACATAGTATATAGATAGTTAGATGGAGTTTTAAACAAAGCAACAACACAACTTGGCGGGGGGCCTTCTACCAGCAGATATCATTATATATATATACATAAGATACACCCAGGCATGGGAAAGATCAGTTGCGATGTATCCCATGGGAGTTGCTTGCGAGCTCGTAGGATGGTCCAAGTAGCGATGAAGCCCAGCATTTTTGGTTGGCTTTTCCAGCTTTTTACCAACTGCAAAGTTATCACCCATCTACCCTCTGGTAAATTAACATAGACCCTGGCAGATAGGGGTTGGAAGACTAGTTTCCATTAAAAATTGGTGATTTTCAGGGTCTATGTTTATTTACCAGAGGGTAACATTCATTAACATTCATCGAAGATCATAGTTGTAATCACCACAAGCTTGCACTATTTTTCGTGAAACCATTATTCCAAGGTATCATTTTCCATTGTTGAAGCCACCCCACTTTTTTCCAGGTTTTTTTGTCACAAATCTCCATGATTTAAAATCGTTCGTCCCAAAATGGGATACTGATTTTGATCCCCGACGGTTTGGATGGTTTAAAAACCATCATTGGATGCTGATCAAAATGCTAAAACCGAATCAGATTTTGAGCTGGTTCCAAAAAAATCACCACAATCCGGAAATATATCTCAAACTCTAGAATAAAACTTCACTTTTTTGTAAATATATATCACAAAAAACATATCCCAATTATATCCCATTTATATTGGTTCTTAAAACCATTTTTTTTGGTAGAAATACTCCACATGACTTGCTGGTGCTACACCATTTTCACCGAGGAAGGCGTATTACGCCAGCGTCCGTGGGTCGGGATCCCATGAATTTTAAGCCGCATCCCGTCCGTGGGAATCCCCAAGTCACCATGGTTGTTTCAATACTAAGAGATAGTCTAAGTTTGGATGATAAAATCAATGGGAATTTCAGGATCCTAAAATGGAGGTACGTTAGTACCAGATAAGTCCATATTTTTGTGGGGATATTTCCTTACATAGGTTCCTAGAACGGCCATTGATAAAATTGGGGGGTATCCCCATTTTAAGACATCTGAAGATGTGGCTTGTGTGTATGGTGATACATGTATGTTTGTTTGTTTTTTTCACATGGAAGTGAAGCAATTACTAACTTGGATGCATATATTCAAGCACCATCTGGGTAGGAATCCTCAAAACAGAACAGTGGGGACGCTAACAGGTGGATATCCTACTGGGAGCTGAATGAATTTTAAGCCCGGTGATCCGAAAATAGTGGTTGTAATAATGGTTGGGTAAGTGTTGATGAATGGATGGTTGACTCTGTTTCTTTGATCTATTGAATAATATTGAATTTATTCATCCACCGACCTGTCTACATATTCAGCTTATAAAGCGATTTTGTACCTTTCCACATCTTTCCACTACCGATTTTCTGTTTTCTGTCCACTTATGATTTTGTTGTATCGTACATATGCCGGACACAACTTACCTTGTACTTGGCTAATCTCGGACATATGCCGGACATTGATATATATCATGATATCCCTGTATAGATGTTTGGATGTCTTGGGTATACACGTTGTTTACCCTCTGGTAAACTAACATAGCTATTGAAAATGATCATTTATAGTTGATTTACCTATTATAAATGGTGATTTTCTATAGCTATGTAAACGTTTACCAGAGGGTAGTCTTATCGATTGATCTTCCTCCTGAATGGATCATCCTCAAGTCAACGCTGGTATTACCCATGTTTTCTACGTGATGAAGTCCCGGGGGCTTCGCTACTTACCGGTTTTCTTACCGGTTTTTATCCACCAAAAGCAGTAAACATGTACTTTTTACACTCCAATTTTGATTGGGACCTTATATATATATATATACATATGATATAATATATATATACACAGTATATTAATTCCCATTCTATTCCCATAGTATTCCCATGATATTTCTCTCCGCGAGGATGAAGCTGTGAAGGAACTGCCGCGGCCAGAGGACTTTGAGGAGCGTGGGCTGCAGCAGTTGAGCGATGGAGGTGTCCTAAGTCATGGGGGTACCACCAGTTATTATCAATTATTTGTCATGTTTTAAATCATTTTCATTTTTTTTGTAATTTCAAAAATCATTTTAATGTTCTATTTGTAATTGTTTAAATCATTTTTAGCTTCCCATGATAAAATTTATCATGAGTTTTGGGGTGATTATATGGGATTTTCCACGATAAACACCAGGAATTTCCACGGGAATATCCCCTCACGACGTCCGACTTTCACGCCCTTTGTTGGTGGATGTAACCAACGATGACCAAGAATTAATTGGGGATATCAACAATCAGGAAGAACAATCCACGAAACATACCCGGCCTGGTAAACGTTAACAAAAAACTATGGAAAGACCCACCATGCTATTAATGGGAAAACCATGGGAACATCATGGGAAAATTGTGATTTATATGGAAATATTCACAATTTTTTAAAGGGTAAATCAACTAATTATGTCTATGGCCATTTTCAATAGCTACTATGTTTGTTTACCAGAGGGTAAGTTCTGTCAGCTGATTTTTAACCATCAAAGCCATACCCCGTTAGTCCTGCAATCAATGGCCATGCAACAGGAACCGATTGATTGGAGGTACCTACCATATATAAGGCCCATGTTTCATGGTCCCCACAAAATATGGCCCAAAATATGGTACTAACGTACCTCCATTTTAGGATCCTGGAATTCCCATTGATGAAATACTAGTTGCTTGATAGGTGTCCCATATGGGTTAATTCGCCCTTTGCCTGTACACTATAATCTGCAACGCCTCAGTACAATTATAATTACTTCCTTTTCATTGTATAGCCACTCCCCATTCTTGTTTTCATAGAATTGGATGATGGGAAATTTTACAGGAAAGCCCTATATTTGATGGTAAAAACCATGGTTTCCTGTAGATTTTCCCTTAAACCAATCCATTCTTGTTTGGGGAGGAAGGATCTTCCACTGCGACAATGTCTTTAGTTGTCGTCAGATTCATCCCTATACTCATATTGCTTATCCCAACAACCGGGGCAGTATAACTCCTTGCCAGAACCAATCAACGAGGGTATTTTTAATGGTTCAGTTCGATCCTTCCGTTAAGGACCTGTCTAATAACCCAGGTGATCGAAAGTTTCCGATTTGCGGGTTATCCCATCTATACATGAGGTATCGATATGGTTACTAACACTATAGTTGGGATGCAATGTATATATACACATTATAATATATATACACATTATACACTATATATATAATATTATAATAAATGTATATACATATATATATAATATTATTATATTATTTTATATTATATTACATTACATTATATAACATTATATTTTATTATTTAATAATATATAATGATAATAAATATATATATATATACATTATAATATATATAATATTATATATATAATATATACAATATATATATATATGTAATGTATATATATATATATCTATATCATATTTATATAATACGTATGTCATGTATGTATATATCATATTTATATAATATATATGTCATATATAATATTATGTGTATACATATATATATATATATCTAATATTATGTGTATGTTATATATATATATATGTATATATTGTATCACATATTATATACATTGTATTATATATTAGATATACTATATTATATATATTTTATCACATATTACATATATTGTCATAAATCATATCCAGTTATATCCACGAGAAGACACATGATAGGAATTTCATGCAACTGTGCAACCAATTATGTTTTATAGCCGCAATATAATATCGGCATTCTGCAGTTGTATATAATGGTGATTACATAGCGGGGATGGTTGGCTATTCTATCCGAAATCAACTATAAAACATATTTGTTTAACCACCAAACAGGGGATAAGTTGAGAACTGATGATTGGTTGATGATTGATTAATGGTTGATTGGTCAATGTAGGGGGGTGTTAACTGCCCTTGCTTATTCAGGATCATTATAGCCGATGATAGGATAACATATTGGTCAACCAGTATAACAGGATGGGATCAGGGTATTTTTGATGGCTCAGTTATGGATTTACATCATTTGCTGACCACTACTCTACAGTGAACCACGAGAAAATGATGATCTCGACCATTCAACCATGTTTTTTTGGGGCACCCCGTCACTCAGAAACACCGTGACCCCTTTCAAGGAAAGATCCCCCGTACCAATACATGAAATCTGTTGGGGCGGGTACCCAGTGGAATTTCATATGTTCATTTCATTTGTTTCGTGTACTTTAGGTGCTACGTGAGTTTTGAAAAGTAGATATCTCATAGATCTTATTTTAAGGTCTTCAAACCTGACTCTTGGATACTCTCGGCATGATGTCTTTTGACACTTGACGACCCCCAAACGATGCTTATTTTTGCCCGAGCACCACTTGCGCTTCCCGGGCTGGGAACATCAACGATCGGGCTCCAAAACTGCCATTAGCTATTTGGGGGTTTCCTTAAATGGGGGTATCCCTTAAAAAGGTGTTTTTTTGGGATTTTCCATGGGAAAATCCCATTGCCAAAAATGGATGATGATTTAGGGGTTCCCCCATGGCTATGGAAAGCCCCAATTTATTGGATGATCGTCCTTTGGCGCTCGGGGTCCATCGCCCTTTGGGATAAGCAGGAGCCTTTGGCTCGACTCACGTGAGGCGAATTCTGGGTTTGCAGAGGGAAGATTTGAGACGATCTTCGTTCGGAACACCCAAAGTGAGAAAAAAAAATCAGAATCAAATGAATCAATCAGATTTTATTCAGATTTACTCAGATGAATAAGATCTAGACCTTAGCTTTGGGTAACGTGGGATCCAGTTGTGGATGGAGGATTGAGATCTTTCCCGAAAAAACTGACCCTTTCCAGGGCTGAAATGCTATAGATAACCTTGGTCCTTGGTGACTGATAAAAACTGATGAACAATGGAGAAACATATCTCATACCCTCTGGTAATTTAACATAGCTATTGAAAATGACCATTTATTGTGGATTTTCCCATTAAAAATGGTGATTTTCCATAGTTATGTTAGTTTACCAGAGGGTATCTCTGTTGAAACAGTCTTGGAAGGATGGATGTCTTAGGTTAGGCGCTCTTTTTTTGGAGCGGGGAAGCACGTTGGCGTTGGGAGGCTTGTTATGATCGTGAATCATTTTCAAAAAAAAACTAGGCCCTAAATGATTGACCAATCATTTGAGGGCTGTGGACTATAGCAGACATAGTTCTTAACTGGTTGGTGGTTTGGAACATTTTTTTTAAAACAAATCCATATATTGGGAAGAATATGTTCCAAAAAAAATCCATATATTGGGATGATTATTCTAAAAGAATCCATTTTTTAAAAAAATATGAATCCTCCCAACTGACGAACTCATATTTTTCAGAGGGGTGGCTCAGGCTTGCTGTAAATCTTGGGGGTGGCAGTTACACTTACGAAGGGGGGTTAGATCCCAACGAAGGTGGGTTTATACCGATGGTTGTACCCATGAACTACCCCAAACTGCACCCCGCACCCCCCCAAGTAGGAGGGATAACATGACTTTAGCTGTTCTAGGCAAAGGAAATGGAATTCTTGCAAGATAAATCAGCATAAGTTAGCGATTACTAGATTACCCTCTGGTAAACGTTTACGTAATTATGGAAAGATCCGCCATTTTTCATGGGAAAGTCCACTATTCCTATGACCATTTTCCATAGCTATGCAACAAATTACCAGAGGGTACTAACATAGCTATTGAACATGGTCATTTATAGTGAGTTTTCCCATAAAAAAATTGCCCTTTTCAATATTTTTTTTATGTTTACCGGCGATTAAATGTGAATTGGCTTCACTTCTAAAGGGCAATAGCAGTCATACCTGAGTTGGTGCTGAGAAATCACCAACTCCAGTGAATAACCTTTAGGCATCATAGAGGATCATTGAGGTTGCATTCCAGGCAAACAGTTCAGTATGTATATATATCTATCTATGTATATATATATATAAGAAATATATATATATATAAGAAATATATATATATATAAAAGAAATATATATATATATATAAAAGAAATATATATATATATATATAATACATAATATATATATATGTAATATACACATTTATATTGAAGTACATCCACACTTCTGTGGGTTATCTAAATATATATATATGTATACATCCCAAACCATTTACCAACTGGGATGCACATCTAATGAGCAGAATCCCAACATGTGAAAATTCTGGGTGACGAAAATGCATGGGCATATGGAAAATGACCGCTTCTATGGCCATTTTTTCTGGCCAAATTATCCTATTTTTTTCGTGGATGAAAAACAGAGGTTTGCATATCTTTGGGTGCTTTGAGATCCACTATCTTTGTTGTTTCTTGCTTCCATGCCATTTGCGCTGCAATAGTTCTTCATAAATTTAGATATCATAAGTATATCCAATTAGATATCCATTGTTTAAGAATTCTTGAAGAACAAGGTCAAAATATATCTTTGAATGAGTTCTGTCGGTTTAGGCTCCAATTTTGTGTCTTTCCATCCGAAATGTTCCTGCTGTCCCACCTTGCCTCCTGCAGGATTCCAACGGTGCAGGTGACGATCGAAAGTCGTTGCGCGAGAAAAGTGTTGGGTGAAGGCTGTTGGATATGTTGTTGGGATCATTTACTGATTTACCCTCTGGTAATGACACACATAGCTATTGAAAATGGACCATCTATAGTTTTTTTTTTTCCAATTAAAGATGGTGATTTTCCATAGCTATGTTAGTTTACCAGAGTATATTTGTTGTTGGGATAATTGCTGTTGTTGGGATATAGCCATGACATTGGATCGTCAAATTTTGAGGACCCATGAAGCCATGAAGCCACAGATTTTGCTCAGCGTTGACCAAGCGCATTTTTTGGTGCTACATACCCTCTGGTTATGTCAAAATAGCTATTGAACATGGCGATAGAAATAGTGGATTTACCCATTAAACATGGTGATTTTCCATAATTAGTTACGTAAACGTTTACCGGAGGGTATCTTCAACTCGTTTCCATATGATCATATGGATGATTTTCACCAACTGAGAAATTTCGAAAATCACCAAATATGACATATAAAGATATACATGCTTGGAATTTATCAACAACCATCATGGATCTTATGATATCATTCACGGAAATCATAATTTCCGTGATCTTTATATGATATCAATATTTTACATGATAATATGATCACGGAAATTATGATATCAATTGTTATGTCCATGAATGGAAACAACCTACATTTTCCTCGGGTTCATCTAAGTTTTTTTAAAGGAAATATAGTCCTTGGATGTTTGGTATCTATCCTAGGGTCAACATACAAAAAGATGTGGAAAAAACGCATGGTTTCCATTGGTTTCCCAAAATGATCTACGAATGGTGGGTTTTCCACATGTAAACGTTTACAGCAGGGCATAAGATGGTATAAACTATTATAAACTAGAACATGGGACAGAAGTAACAACAAACATTTCTTCGGCCGCCGTTTCACTTGAGATGATAGGGGGGTTATGGCGATGGGTCAAAATTGGGTACTCCGAAGACAGAAGGGGATAGCATTGAAATTGGTTACCCTCTGGTTATGACTAACATAGCCATGGTATAGATGGCCCATAGAAATAGATGGTTTACCTATAAATAGCATGGTGATTTTCCATGGCTAACTTAGTCATAACCAGATGGTAATACTGATTCAGGATGAAAGATAAGCAAAATCTTAGGGTGTCCGATGGGTCAAAAACTTTTTGATCCACAGTGGCCCACAGTGGCCCATCCCACGTGCAACTGTTGTAATATGATTACCCTCCGGCAATCAAAGATGGCAAGTGAACATGTCCTGCTCACAGATTTTACGATTTTTCTTAATCAGTGGGATTTCCCGCTGATTTCCAAAATGGTTTTCCTATGGTTTTTTCCAACTTTCATGAGATTTCCCCCGAACCGTGCCATGTTTGACGTGGTTCGCTGGCTCTCAGTGCGTCTAGCTGCTATTCCTTTTGCTGCTACGGTTCAGGTGGAGTGGGGATGGAGCCCAGTGGTGTCAGTAGGTCCCAAGATGTCCCATGGTTTCGTTTTGGGGGTAATGTTTTTTTAGGGGCAGGGATTAATGATGATTAATGGAATCAGAAAAACAGGGTATTTTTACAAAGACAGATATACTGTAACCTGGTGGCAGTGAGTATTCGAGCTTTTTCCGTATATAAATGAGTTATAAGTATATGGTTACTGACGAGTTACTGACTGGATCGTCATCTGTCAGTGGGAATCGTAGGGGAGCCAACTTGATTCCAACAAGATGCCAAGGGACTGGTATAGCAAGCCCAAGTCATAGACGAAGAGTTATGGAAACCTGGAACAGATCTGGAACACATGATCTGGTTGGTGCTTTGGAACATTATCTGGTTGGTGGTTGGTGGATATAGTGTGGCTAGTGCTTAAATAATGGTTATATGATCATATAACTAATAACTGGTTGGTGCTTTGGAACACGAAGTTTATGACTTTCCAGTTGGGAATGTCATCATCCCAACTGACGATTCGTCCATCCTTTTTCAGAGGGGTGGGCTCAAACACCAAGCAGTTAACCATTGTGAATCACTGTTAACATTTACCACTTTGCTATTGAAAATTTCCATAGAAATAGTTGATTTACCTATAGAAACCTGGTGATTTTCCATAGCAAACTGTTAAATTACCAGAGGGTATCTATATCTACCATCCTTGAAACACTGGCGGCTCTGTGTGATGTTTTTTTTTGTTTGAATCCAAGTCAGGCGGTCTACCCTTCAGTAATTTGACATAGCTATGGAACATATGGCCCATTTATAGATTATTTACCTATTCAATAGATGGTGATTTTCGATCGTTTTTTGTATGTTTTTTGTATGTTTACCAGTAAAACCAACCCATGACTGGGAATGGTAAACATACCACCTATAAAAATTGTGATTTTCCTGGGGGATGGTGCGTTTATGGATGTTTATGGTCATATGTGAGATCACCAGAGAGGAATGAAGTGTCACTTTTTGAGTGCATGAATAGTCGTTGAGAGGACCCGAAGTTTTGTAGAGGTCCGAGAAAGGTTGGAAGTCTGCGTATCTGAGAAGTCCGACTAGTAGGGAGAAAGCTATGATGGGGTGTCTTAAAATAGGGGATCCCCGAGTCACCGTGGGTTTCAATTCACTAAAATGGTTTAATGACTTGGATGATGTCAAGGGGGTACCCCCTTGGCCCCTTGACTTCGGAAACCTCCATGAAACCAGCTCTGTGCTATAGTCTTGGAAACCCTAGCAACTTGGACATAATTAAATATGAAGTAAATCATATTCTTGGGTATATATATATAATATCAAACATATATGTCAATGTCATATCATCCTTCACAACCGTGAAGCATCCTGGTGGCACACGATGAAACAAACGGCACCGTCCAACCACACCACCGTCCCCGGGGTCCCCTGGAGCGCAAGCAGAGGTCATGAGTAAGCGTCCCCTGGAGGAGGATACCCCGGGGATGGCTCGGGGGCGTTCTGGAGATCCCCCAAACTGGGCGGAAAACGGGTGAAAACAATCTACCCTCTGGTTTAAACTAACATAGCTATGGAAAATCACCATTTTTAATGGGAAAACTCACTATTTC